TAGGCACAGCACCAAAGACCAAGGGAGCTGGGAATGCCCAGCAAGGGATTATGTAAATGCTGCCGTTCTTCTGGCATTTGACAGAACACACTATTAGTAAGAATTTCTCCAATACTGAAGATTTTTTGCAGATCAGACACTTAATATATGCCACGTGCTGCAGAGGAATTTACAGCAAAACATGTACTATCATGCAGTCCAAAAGTCCAGCAAAAAATTGATTATTCCAGAGGCAGTCAGTGCTGTTCATTATGTCTGATAAGGGACACTGAAAATATAGGGTAGATTTGCTCCAAAATAGAGCAAGCACCTCAAATAGCATTCTCTGCACCCCACAATCATGCAAGAAGTGACCTGGGGAGGGATTCAGGTACTGTGGGGAGCGTTCCCAGCTGCCAAGTGTTGCCTGTGGAAAGTCTAATCTGCCTCACAGCCAGCCTGCCCCAGCATGGGGTCAAAAAGTGATCTTTCACAAGCAGAGACGCAAAACAAGCAAGGAGAAATTCTCACGCTTGCTTAGAGTGATTAGCTGGGGAGCAGATCACCCAGGGCTGCTTCTGTGGGACTCTGGGAAAGGCCAGGGTGCAGCCTCGGAGCAGTGCTCCCAAAAACTCAGAGCAGTCTTTCCAGATAGTAGGTGTCCCAGGTGGTTGTTTTCTCATCTCCTGGTTTTAAGTGGAATTCTATTCAGGTTTGTCTTTAAAGGAAGCTGGTGGGACTGTGGGCCACCAAAGCCTCCCCACATGCATTTAGCTGGTGTCTTGTGTTGACAGTGACACACAATTAAAATTGGTTTTCATAATAGAGAATTTTGGAAGGGAAGTTAGCTTAACTGGAAAGGAAACAAGTTTAAGTCTGTAACAGGTGTCTGCACAAGTGTGTCACTGCTCTGACTGTGGATGGGTTTGACCTGGGCTTTGGCAGAGGGAGGGCAGCCCCAGAAAGGAAGGGGAGTGTGATCGTGTCCTATTTTAATAAGCCTGCCTGGAATGCACATTTGACAAACCACTTTCCTTGGTACTGGTTCCACAGGCTCTGGGGAGGGATTTGCACCAGGTCTCTCAGGGATTTCTGTAGCTGCCAACTCACTTAGAAGTAACAGACACCTTTGTATCTGATGGTCCCTTAGGCCTCAGATTGAGGAAGCAGTTGACTGAGGTGCAGGTCCTCAGTGTAATAAAGTACTGAAGACATAAGCAAGTGGGAACAGGCAGAGAGAAGAGTCTTTTCAAGAAGTGTGGGTTGAATTGAAGGGCAAGATAGGAGTAAGTTTTTACTAACTAGTCACTCAGCAAAACTCTGCAATTATTTTACATTTATTTTCAGCCAGATAGGAAAATCAGCAGTGGTTCTGGCAACAAAATATCTCAGAAGGCTCTCTCTTTGAAAAATGTATTGCAGCTTAATCCTGTTCTCACTGGAGTCAATGTCAGACTGCTACAGGATTGCAGAGAGGAGATAGGATGGGTTTGTTATGCAGCTAGCCATGCCATTAACATGCTCAAAACATAACTTCTCCTTGTAAAGGGAAACCCTACTGAAGGAAATGTGGCTGCCTTCTGTCCATTTAAAACAATAAAAGGTTTTCTTCCATCTGTCTCCAGTGACTTACTTCATCTGTGTGAATTTTCAGTCCTTTATAGCTGTGTGAAGAGGGTAATTTTGGTTTATCTTAAATTTAGTTAATGTTATCTTTTAAGGCTTTAAAATACCTTTGAAAATCTGTACCAAAGTAGAAACACAAGAAGAGTTCTGATTGAATAGTTCTGATTCTTGAAGCAAGCACAAACAAAGAAATCCTGATTTCAAAGACAAACCTGTTCAGCAACATTTTCCTGATAAGGAACTAAGTTTTTCATGTCTTCAGAAGTGTCCCTGGTAGCAGCCAGATGAAAAAGCAGGAGGGAAAGCATGTTGGCTGAGTGGAGAACAGGCTGTTTAACTTGTGCATCAACACAGGTACCCCCTGTTCTCTATCCTGAGGCAGCCCTGTACACCCGGAGAGCCAGGCTTCCACCCACCACCAGCCAGGCCCTCAGCACCAAAGCAGGAGGTGACTTTAGGATAGGGGGCCAGTGCCACCAAGCCCTCTGGCATTTCCGTGTGTGGCTGTGCCATTGCACCAGGCAGTGAGTGATGGCTGCCACCAAAGCCAGGGCTGGGAAGCTCAGGCATGCCCCATTTGACGTTGTACGAGAACGTGTCTCTCCCTATTTCCAAATTCCCTGAGATTCCTCTCTCTTGATGGAGATTGATTTTTGCCTTTGGGAACCCAAGGGTATGTATTGTGCTCAGAACTGGCCTGAGCTGAACTTGGAGAAACTGCTGATGTGTTTGCTCTTGTGCAAGTTATCATTTTATAAGCTACCTCACAGACTGAATGGAACAGGAAAGGGAAGAGAGGCAAGTGAGAGACATCCCATTGCCTCTGTATCCATGTTGTGTAGGAACATTCAACCCTCTGCAATTAATATATAACCTCAGCCATCTAAATTTGTGGATGAGCCTTTTCTCTGCTGCAAATGTCTGCTGACCATCAGGCAGTTCTCTTGAAGACACTAAGGAAAGCAGCATTGAGCTGCTCCTGGCGTCAGGGATGCTGGTTTGAGCAGCTCCCGAGCTGGATGGCCGGGCTGGAAGCAAAGGTGGTGGCCAAGGCCGGGCCAGGCTGGCCCGGTGGTGCTCAGAGGTCGGGCAGGCAGGGGGCTGAGGGGTCACCCCCGGGTTAATGACTCCCCAGCCCCTAAGTCCGGGGCTCAGCCAGCTGCCCACGCCGAGCACACGGCGTTCGCCTGGAGATGAGGATGGAAATATGTTCTCCTTGCTCAAGAGAGCACATAAACAGCCCATAAACGGCCCATTAACCCACAGAATGGCCATCAGGAACATGTGGTCAGGCCAGCATCGGGACCTGTGACCCAGCAAGGGCCCTAATGGGGCTGTGAACCTTATCATCAACCCTAAGTGCGGGTAATGGATAATCAGCAACACAGAGAGGAGGCAGCCAAGAGAGAGGGGGTGACAGACGATGGGCACCCAGGTTCAGTGTGCAGAATATTGTGGAGTGATCGAGTTATATCTGGCAGTATCAGGGTAACGCTTCATATAGTGAAGCCACTTCAGAGTGACTCAAGAGAGACTTTTCCCATTGGCTCCAGTGGATGCCTTCAACAGCTCAAGGAGCTTTGCAGTCCCTTCTCTTACAACCTCTTCCAAGCAGCAGCCACTTCGGTGGTCCATCTTGCTTTTTGAAGCAATAAAATGGGCATGTATTTTATTTGTTTTCTAGCTGTGATATTTGAATTCCATTTAAATATAAAAGGATATTGAGATTCATTAGTGCAGGTGAAGGGAGAGGACGATTGAACATGCGTGTGTCTGGCATCTCCAGCCCCCTGCCATGGGCAGGGACACCTTCCACTACCCCAGGTTGCCCTGAGCCCCATTCAACCTGGTCTTGGACACTTCCAGGGATGGGGCAGCCACAGCTTCTCTGGGCAACATGAGCCAGGGCCTCACCACCTTCGCAGGCAAGAATTTCTTCCTGATATCCCATCTAAGCCTGTCCTGTGTCAGTGGGAAGCTCTTCCCCCTTTTTCTGTCACTCCAGGCCCTTGTCAGAAGTCTCTCCCCAGCTCTCCTGAAGCTTGCAGGAAGCTGAATGCCTCATGACAGGGAAGCTGCTGTAGCAGCAGGGCAAGGTCCTTGGCTCCCAGGAGATTCCAAGGGCATTTATGGTTACCGATATACTTTCAGTCAAAAGGAAATCTATATCACTGAAGCATCATCACTCTGAGTAACTTAGGAAGAAAGCTATCAAAGTTTATTTAAGGAAAAGAAAAAGGAGTAAAGGGCATGTTTTTTACTGGTTTCTTTTTTCCCAATTGCAAATTGAGAGTCTGTTTACCCTGGAAAAATCAATGTGGTTGGACACCTGATGTAATTAATTATTTTGCAAGAGAGAGCCAGCTGATCTTTTGAAAAGAAAGGCGTTTTTAGCGGAACTGTTCAAAGTTCATAGTCTGCTGTGTATCTCTAATGCTGATAAACATCCAGCAGAAAGGATGTCTGTCTTAAAATTTCCCATGGTCACACCTTTATTTTAAGGTGATATGCTGAGAAAAAGGCTGTAGACCCCAAGGAGCCCTCCAGCAAGGTGACTCTGGTGGTGTGGGCTCCACTTACCTTTAGGAGATGCCCTTGGGCCTTGGGATGATGGGTACAGTGATGTTCTCAGGTTTGAATTTTGAACCCTTAGCCAAGAAAGGGTTTCTGTCCTTTTTCTTGAGCTTATAAAATAAGCAGGCTTTGCTTGTGCTGTGTGTTTGAACATAGTAGCTCTTTTGCCTAAACAGGCAGCCTTTTCCAACCCAGACCAGTTGGTTTTTTTCAGTGCATTGGTGCCTGACTAAATGCATGGGGTTGCATTCTTCATGTATAGAGGAGACAACCCTTCTGTTAAGTATTCCTGTGTTTTCCAGTGGTGGGCTGGGGAGGTTCCAGCCTCCCTTGCAGGCCAATGGCAGCCCAAACCTGGCTGGCAGGGAGGGAGGGGAAAGCCAGCAGTAGGATGCTGTGCCAGCAAGCCCCCAATTGGTTTGGCTGGAACTGGTTTTAGGTCATATAAAAAAGGGGGTGAAGGATCCGGGCTGCTCAGAGAGCGGCCGGTCCTCGGGCAGCGCCACAGAGCACCATAGTGCTTTTTTTTCACAAGGACTGCAAATTGCTGTAACATAGTCAAGGTCTGTAGGAAGAGACAAGTTTTCCTGAACTTTACTCCCAGCTTGAACTTGTAAGAAGTTCAGTGAGAGGCAAGGAAGGGGAGAGAGGGAGATAGAGGCAACCTCGCTCCCGGCCCGTGTCCGCAGCGCCGAGGATGTCAGATGGTAGAGGCAGCCTGGAGAAGCAGCTGAACGGCCTTGGGGAGCAGGGCAAGGAGAGGAGCCGCACGTCCCTGGTCATCTCACAGGCCGTTAACCGCAGTATTTTCACCTCTGCAGTCTCCCCCGCCGCCGAGCGCATCCGTTTCATCCTCGGAGAGGAAGATGACAGCCCCGCGCCCCCGCAGCTCTTCACCGAGCTGGACGAGCTTCTGGCTGTCGATGGACAGGAGATGGAGTGGAAGGAGACTGCAAGGTGGGTTGCTTTTCCTTTACCCCCAAAGGGAAGGGCAGCCAGCAGTGCTTTCCATGGGAGATTCCTGGTTTAGCATTCCACTGGGGAATAGCTGTGCTGCAGGATCGCATGGGGAAGCTGCAGAAAGGAGCCTGCGAAGTTCAAATTTCCATTCTTTGGTGAATGAGAGAATTGTAGGGTTTGTTTAGGTATTCCAAAAGAAAAACCAGGGGAACAAGAGAGTGCCAGATGGATTGCAATAGTTTGCCTGTGGAGAGAAAAGTATGGGCTCAGTAGTGCTTTGCAAAGGGGGACACATCTCAGCCGGAATTGGCAGAAGTTGCCAATTCCAATTTGGCTGAGTTAAAAGCGCTTCAGTACTATTGCCCCAAAGTGGCTTTTGAGCCTGGTCCCACCTCACAGGGACAGGCTGTCCCTGTCCTCCTGAATTACTGATGGAATTAATTTTAAATAGGAAAAAAAGCTTAAAGTTGTTTTCTTGCGAAGAAATTATTCAAGGTGCATGTTAAGTGCTGCATGGGGTTACTTTGCTTTGAGTTCCTTGGTTGGGTTCTTCGATGCTGCTGTTAGTTTGGTCAAAAAGCCATGAGAAAAAAACTGCGATGTTTTTGGGGTCTGGCTGCTACAAGTTACATGTAGTTTATATCTGAACACCACTGGCCTATTCCCAATTGCCTTCACTGAGCCTGGGGTTTTTTTTCCTTTTCTTTATGGTGGCTGGGCTAAGCTCTTTCCCCACCTTCCCCTCTTAAGGGCACTGTCTGTTTAACGTTAGCCCCTGTTTGGTCACCCTAATCTTCTTTACCTGTGATTTAATGAGCTGCTCCACCACCTACCCCTTTACCTCTTATCTTAATTTATTTTTGCTTCTCAGTTGCTTGGGAAACTTACTTAATGACTTTTCACCTTTTACTCTCTAACTTCTAACTTGTTGCTCATCCTTTTTCTCCCTTTATTGCTCTCCTTTCCTCTTACCATGAATTCAGCACTTCCTGATGTAGCTGTTGTTACACATCTTTGGTAGGAGTGCTGCATGGAGCTGTGTGGGTGGTTCTCTGCAGGGTTCTTCTCCCAAGTAGCAAACCACAGGCCAAGAGGAAACAGCCTCGAGGTGTGCCAGGGGAGGTTTAGGTTGGATATTAGGAAAAATTTCTTCACCCATAGGGTTATCTGTGCAGGATAGTGGTGGAGTCCTCATCTCCTGTGGGGTTTAACAAATGTGTGGATGTGATGCTTAGGCACATGGGTTGGTGGTGGCCTTGGCTTTGCTGGATTACTGTTTGGATTGGATGATCGTAGAGGACTTTGCCAACCTGAATGGATCCATGATTCTTTGTATAAATGACACAGAATGTAACAAAGCACCCTGTTGAAGTGCTGTTAAGTTTCTAAATTCACCCAACCTCCTGCCTTTGTGGATAGTGATCTTACAAAGTATGATTGCTCAGGATTTTTCAGTACATTGCTGAAATTACTGAATCTTGCACCATAGATCCTCCTGAGAGCTCCTGAGCATCTCCCAGTGTGTCCAGAGCTGGCTGGTGCTGTGCTTCAGTGGGCACAGGGTCTGCCAGCTGTTTTGGGGTTGTTTCGCATCTGCTGCTGCAGAACAGCTCCCACAGCTGGGAAGTTGCAGGAGCAGGTACTGATCACAGGAGCAAGTGCAGGGCTGTGTGGGTGGAGGAGAGAGGAGAGGACAGAAGAGACCTTGTAGGGTCCATGCTTCCCCTGGCCCAGTGTAGAACTGCACAGCTCCCAGCTGGGGAAAGCAATGCTGGCTTCAGGTAGGGCTAAAGGCTGCACTCATATTTGAGAGAGCAAACAATCAAATTACCTTCCTCATCTCCTTCTTGCTCTGTTCTGATACCTACACATTCCTTCTGTCTGCTGCACCTCGCTCCCAGCAGCCCGTGAAAGCTGTGGTGATATTATCAGGTGTAAAAGGGTGAAGGATAGAAATGTAATTCCTGGCACAGCTTATAGAACAAAAATGATTATAACAGAAGTTCAAAAAACCCATATCCACCATCCCACAGTCCAGCACTGTCATTCCTTTTCTCTGTAATCCCATCACCTTCCTGCCATCTCTCTGCCTTTTAGAGAGAATATCCCCACGCTATGCTGGGCATGTCTTGGTCCCCAAAGATACTTCAGTGCTCCTCACAACAAGCTGGGGCCCTCCAGCTGCTGCAGGTCTTCTCCTTTTTGTGCTTCACTCGGTATCCTGTGACCACCTCTGGAATGCAGGCATTCCCTGCTTAGTGAAGGTGCCCCTGCCCATGGCAGCAGTTTGGAACTAGGTGAGCTGTGAGGTCCCTCCCAACCCACACCACTCTCTGGTGTTGTGAATCCAGCAGGCATTTGTTCACCCAGGTTTGCAAGTTAATGTTTGGTGTATTGTGTTGGGACTGTGGGTTGCAGTGAGAAAAGTAAACAGAAAGCAATTATTGATAGTTGTGAGTAATCACTTTCCCTGGAAGGACAAACACTGGTAATTTGCAGCCTTCCTGCTGTTACAGGGTAAATGTGGCTCCACACAAAGCCCCTCAAGTGCACAGACTTGCATCCACCCAGACCCCTCAGGTGTCCTAGGAAACACTTATTTTTTGTGAACTAAAAGGACCTTATTAATTTGAGATGAAAATCAGTCTTTTATCTTGAGTTAAAAAGCAGCTTTAAAAAAACAAAGTCTCAGAAAGAGATTATTTCAGTTGTGAAGCATAATTGATTAATCCTCAAGTAATACATTTTTCAGGATTAAAGATAATTTCCCTTGCTGTTAATAATATTCTTTTGAACAAATTTATGAGCTTCCTTACCTTATTCCTTACCTTTTTCTTAATAATCTCTTTATATTAGTCACTGGAATTTTCATTTTCCACATATATTAAAATGGTGTCTCAAGAGGGGATTAAAAAGCATTTCTGCTTTGCCATTAGGGCATACTGGACCACGTTTTCCTGCACCTCCAGTTTACAGCAGAGCTGTTGCTGGGTGCTGTGGTGAGGAAGAAGGTATGGGCCAGCTGAGATCCCCCAGGCCCACAGGAGGCCTGTGCTCCGTCCCCAGTGCCCATCCCTGCACGCTATTGGGCTGGGCACAGTGGGGCCAAGGGCAGGGTCAAGGCAACAGGGGGAATTGGGGATGGGCTGCATGCCACGGACAGGGAGCCTCCTGCTTCCCTGCTCTTGGGATGTAGTTTTAGGGGTATAAAGTGTGTTTTGCACAACCAGGATTCACCCTTTGCTCTCACCTTCCATTAGAGATAAGTTTTCTGGGTTTTTCAAACCTGCTTGGTTAAATCATTAAACAGCAGCTGGAGGGAAAGAATGAGCTCCTTAATTTGTGCCTTCTCCTTTGGTGGCTCATTTGTTCTCTAAAAGCACCTTCAGATATGACTAGCTTGTGCTCCTCTCTTCCCATCTTTGTCAGCCTGTGGGCATGGGACGGCAGTATTCCACGCTGCCTCCGTCTTGACAGTGGCTGATTCCATATTTTATTGCCCGAAATTGAATCACAGAATCATTCCATTTGGAGCAGCCCTCCAGGACGATAGAGTCCAACCATTAAACCAGAACTGCCCAGATAATGAAGGACAAGTTGCCTTATTTCCAGAAATGCTGATTTATTTCCCTGCAAGGAAGCAACAGCCTTAACCCCATGTCATTGCTCTGCCCTGTTGCAGGTGGATCAAGTTTGAGGAGAAGGTAGAGCAAGGTGGGGAGCGATGGAGCAAACCGCACGTGGCCACCTTGTCCCTGCACAGCCTGTTCGAGCTGAGGACGTGCATAGAGAAGGGCTCCATCATGCTGGATATGGAGGCTTCTTCCCTCCCACAGGTGGTGGGTAAGTACACCTGTCTTGGCTCTTTCTCTCACCACTTCCCCACAAATTTTTATTAACTCTGGTGTGGCTTTATGGGTGGTTTTAATGAAAAAGCGCTGCTTTTCCCATAAAAGAGAAAAAAATGAAAGAAAAAGGAATAAGAGGGAAAAACTAGAAAGTACCTGGAAAGAGATAACAGATAGATTAAAAGAGTCCTTCTCAGTGCAGGGAAAAGACATCCATTTAATTTATGTTCACTATGGAAAAGGTGACATGTGGAAGGGCCATGTGTCTGGAGCAGAGACACCCATCAGGTACTGTTTATGCAGAACAACTCGGGCCAGGAGCTGCTCTTGGCTGAGGTGTTCAGCTGCCCACTGAGGGCAGATGGGGCTGTGTTTAGGATGGGATATTCCCGATCCCCAACAAGGGAGAGGGGAGAGCAGCCCAGCACCAGCTGGTGCTCTGCTCTGCAGAGTGGGAGGGCAGGTTTTGTATGGTCAAATCAGCTGTGGCCCAGGGTGACGCTTGGTGACATGCTGACAGCCAGATCATGTTGCCCATGGTGTGTGAGAACTTAAGGAAAATAAATTTTCCAAGTGAGCCATCCAGTGGAGGGACATTTAACCAAAATGCTGAGTTTAAGAGCCATTACACGAGGAGATCTAAAAGAGAAAAATTAAGTACTTTCTCTGCCAAAACTCATTGCTTTGAATGATCATCTCAGGAAGGTCAAAATTATCATGGCATTGAATTCTCCCATACACTGGATCGTCAGACTTGGAATTACAGGTGTTTCTGGTGTTAAATACAGAGTTTTGAACTTAGTTTTGCATGTGCCTATGGTGACATGTATCTTCCTTTGCTTTTGTGTCTGTGTATCCAAATGCACAGCTTTGCAAAGTTTTAACAAAATAAATCCCCCAAGAAGCTCTCAAGTTTTCTGCTGAATGTTAACCTGCTTCAGAAGCTGGTGTTCATGGTCCAAAACCTTAAACCCTCAAACATTAAATTTTCTTTTGAAGTCCCTTCGAGATGTCACCTTCAATCTCCTTCTTCAACCCCCAAATTAAATCTAATTCCTAGGAGATTAAATTACACATTGGTGGTTGCTGTTGCTGTGACACTGTCCTGAGCGGGGTGTTTTTGCTGATCCAGACCCTTAATCAGACAGGTAGGGATATACAGGACTGGATTTCCAGGATGATTTAATCATGATCACTTGGCTTGTGTCTGGTAGTGACACAAAGGAAAGGAAAACTCCAAAGAAAAACTCTCTCTGTTGTTTGTGTTTTATCTGCAACAGGGAAGCGAAGTGCCAGATAGAGAAAGATAAAACTTGAATGTAGGTTCTGAAGGAAATACTCCAAAATTCACTAACCAAAACCATGAGCCAGAAAAGCTTGTATTAAAGTAACGCTTAGCCAAGGTCAGCCTTTTGCCAGGCATGTTGTGTAAGGGTACCTACGTGCTTCTGCCCACCCTGTCTTAATTTGAGAGGAAGAGCTAGGTGCTTCCTTGGGGATTTGAAGAGGCTTTAATTCTGAGCAGCACATAGAGGATGACTTTCTGACTCACTGAGTTAGCAAATGTGATGCGTGTCCTGCCTCCCCCTTGCCATAACTTTTATTATTAGCACAAATAAAAGTTACCAGCAGACAAATATGAGCTGCCACTTGCCCTCAGGGGACAGTGTGTGAACTCAAGTTACCAAGGGAACAACTTCATGCCAGACTTACTTCACAGGGGACATTCTTCATAAGTCTGGCCACCTTTCTGCCTTTTTCCTCTGGGATAAGGGAGGAGAAAGGAGGGAATTGATGGGAAGTGAGCAGGCATTGAGGGCGCTAGGGGCCTTTTCTCCTGGTGACTCCATGAAAAGTAAAGCCATATAATACATCCTGTGGTAACTGGAGCAAGTTCTGCCGCTTGTAGTTGCCATCACTTCAGTCCTGCAAGTGAATGATTTAATTAGTGGCTCATCTCCAGGATTTCTTCCTGTCTTTAGATTAAGTTTTACTGGGGGCCTGCAAGGTGAACTCAGGCCTTGTTGAAGCTAATAGAAGATTTTCTGTGTGCTTTATGGGGGCATCATGGAACTTGCCTTAGAGTAGTAGTATCTCTGAGAAAGTCCAGGCTGAGAGGGGATTCCATTTCTGAGCTAAGAATTGGCTTACCCTGGTCTTTGAAATAGGCTCCATGGCATGTAAGAAATAGCAGAAGGGAATCTCAGTGCAGTAGCTGTGTGTTAGTGGCTCATGCTGGATGGAAGTGCTTATGTCCTTTTTCGAGAGGAATGTCTAAAAGAGATTTTCATAGAAACAAAAGCTGGCTTTGAGATGGTGAGAAAGCCTTCAAAAAGGCAGGGTGAAAATGTCTCCAAGCCCTCCCTCTCTGCTCTCCCTGGAAGTGGTTTTGAGCTCTGTGGTTAATTTTGCTCTCCCCTCCCTCCCCCTTCCTGTGTGGCCACAGAGATGATCGTTGACAATCAGATCGAAACGGGGCTGCTGAAACCTGACCTGAAGGACAAGGTTACCTACACGCTGCTCAGGAAGCACCGGCACCAGACCAAGAAATCCAACCTGCGCTCGCTGGCTGACATTGGAAAGACCGTCTCCAGTGCAAGTAGGATGTTTTCCAACCCCGATAATGGTAATGCAGAGGCTGCCTTCTCTGTCACAGCAGCCCACCCGCCCAGAACTAACTGCGTGGCCATGACCCCGCTTCCTAACCCCAGGAGCAGCGAGGCCGTGCTGATGGCGCATCAGTGGGGGCTCTGCAGCTGCTTGGCCCTGGCACAGCACTCTAAGCACACCTTCACTGGACTGGCAGGGATCCAGGGGCAGGCTGGAAGGCAAGGGTGCTCTCACAGCTGGCGTCTAGGAGATGGTTTAGGAGCAACGATAGGAAAGAGAGATTTGCCAAAAACTTTGGTGGGGCCTGAACCTTAAAAGGCTGGTCACCTGAATTATTTGGGCAGAGACAAAGCTTCCATGCACATTCTGTGTCTGTAACAGTGTCAGTAGCACTGTGAATCAAAAATGACCTGGCGGTAACACCTAGCTTGCATTTTATTGCAATAAAATCATTGTCCAGTGGGGTAAAGCTGATTTCCATCCTGCTTTATTTGTCCTAAAATAATTTTGTGGTGTGTGTTGTGAATATGTGTCCTGTTCTCTCTAAAAAAGGTGTAATAGGTAGTGCCATGTTGGTAGTGGTGTCCCTAAATGTGTGTGTGTGCGTATGCAGACAGCTATGGAGGCCTGGACACTGACTCAGTGCTTGCCCCTGGGTGGAGATTTGGGATCTTCTTGCTCATGGTAATAAAGAAAAGAGGAGTTTTATGCCTCTTGTCATGCCTTGGAGTTTTCTCGACTGTCTCCTGTGACAGTCTGGAAATTGGGTTTAAAGTTGCCATTTTAAAATACCCAGAAATAAGAGCAAATGAAGAAAATTATTTTCTTCTTGCTCTACCAAAGGCCTCTTAGCTTGCTGTGTTTGGCTTCTAAAACTCACCCTAACATTTCTCCCTAACCTATTCTCACACTTCATTAATATTTCCTACCTTGGATCATCCTTTGGTTTTGCAGCAGGAGTGTGTATGTGTGTGGAGACTGTTCCTTGCTCTGGGTGATACCTCCTGTCATGTCTGTGCCTTGATAAGGTGGTGAGTGAGGGAGTAAGGCAAGGTGCAGTAACGTGAACCAAGGGAGTTTTTCACAGTGAACATCCCTGCAGGAGGCCAATGGAGCAGAGAGGGACTGGGCTCTGGGGAGTGCACTGGGAGGAAATGACAGCTTTAGGGACAGCATGGCCAGATGAGTGCTACAGCTGGAGGAGCCATGGGCAGGGACTCCTTCTGCTGGAGCACATTGCTACAAGCCCCAGCCAGCCTGGCCTTCTGGATGCCTTCCCAAGGTATGCTCCCCATGGTATGGATGGAAGGCAGCTGCTTTCTGGTACCACGTCCATGACCCAAGTCCTTTCTGGGCCTGTGATGGTCGGGTTTGCTGTGGGGAGCAGAACCCTGGCCTGTGGCCACAGTGTGTGGGAGGCTGAACCCCAGACAGACGTGCCTTGGTGCTCAAGTCACCTCTTGTAGGGGATGCCCTCAGTTCTCAGCTGCAAACCCCTTTTCCTGCACGTAGGCAGAGCTTATCCCAGGAAGAGTGATGCTGACAAAGGACATTCCTCCCAGTCTCACTCAGCCCCTGCTCATTTTTCATGGCTAAAGGCCTTCTTTGCTTGGATTTTAAGTGATTTCAATATCATTCATTTCTTGTTCTTGTTTGAATGGGCTGTGCAGGATCTGGCTCATTTGGACTGATTCTCCAGGAATTCTTTCCTGTTCTGGTCTTCAGGCACTCCTTTAATGTTGTTCTGTCTCTGTTCTTCCTCCTGGGATATTGATGTGCTCTGTGGATGTGTAACACACTCTGTTCCATGACAGTACAAATGCATTGAGACTTCAGGAGGGCAAGACTGACATATGGGGGAAAAACCTGATGAGTAGTCGTTACTGTTATTTATTATTTACACTTTAATGGAGAAGTAACTACAGAATGTATTTGATCAGGTTATACCTTGGATTCAGTGAGTGTCTCATGTGTCCTTTAGACAGATAAAAATTTTATGAGGCCAACAGGAATGCAGCTGTCTCTTAGCATAGCTAATCACCCTAATGACTGTGCCACCAGCCCCAGGCACTCCTAAATTCCCCTTGAGTTTCTTTCCAGGTAGGTGTTTGTTTTCATCTCAGTGACACTTCCATCCAATAGGTCTGAGCATCCGCCTGCCCTCTGCACAACAGCTTTACAGCCTGGTGCAGCTGCCCCCTGCTTCACTGGCTCAGCAGGAACACCCTCTGCAGCCAGCCAACCTGCCCTTGAACATTTCCAGGGGTGGGATCTGTTTGTTAGATCTGAAATTTGGAAATACACCCTGGGCCATGGCTCAAAAAAATCCTGTGGTGCCTCTATCTCATTTGGTTCAGAGTGCTTAATTAACGGAAGTCTTAGGGCCTCCAAAATATTCTTACTTTTGACTTCTGAGATGAATGAGCCCCATGCAGTTATCCCAGATGCCTCTAGAAATTCAGGAACCTAAGAAAGAGAGATGTCTCTGCCCATCTCCCTGCCATAACTGATCCTGGAGCATCTCTATCCTTTCCCAACCCTCCCTAGGGATGGGGGTGGCTCTGTGGTGCCTGGGTGGGTCATCCTCAGCCCCCATCTTTGATGTCACTGCTCTGTTTGAAGGCAAGGTAGTGATCAGATGGGCAGAGACATGGCCAAGGTGTGCTCTGACACCTGCTCTGGCAGGATGTTTTATCAGGAATCCCTTTGCTCTGGGAAAGGAATTGGGCAAAGAGGGTAGTTCCCTGTGTGCCATGGATGGAAGAGGATAAATCACAGCACTCCATTGCTGTCTGTTGTCTAGGAAAAAGATGATTGCCAAAATTCTGGGTGTACAAAGCTGGACTAAGCAATTCCTCCATGTTACCTTGTGAAGACACAGCCCTTTTGCTTGCTTCCACTGGTAGAAGGGTGAACTGTATGAAGTGTTCAGCAAGGATATTTCCATGTTACATATTGATGAGACTCCTGCAGGGGTTTTTGCCAGGCTTTTGTGTGTGTCTCATTTTGTTGAGTGGCTTTTGAAGAGTTCTTTGTATTCCTTCCTGGCACAGCCCTTGTCCTCCACCCCTGGAGCAGTACATGATACCTGGGCTAGCAGCTCTCCAGCTGGCACACCTTGAGCTTTGCCATGCTATAATATGGGATCTGTGGTGCCCATCCCTTCTGCAGGTGCCTGACTGGAGGACTGACCAATATTTGCCAGCCTTCTGTGATGACATTTGCTTTCCATTTTGAGATTTTTCTTTCAGAGCTTTGTGCCTGCCAGCGTTTTGTATAATTTAACACCTGTGGGAGCCTTTGGCAAGTGAGAAATTATGAAATGCTGCTAAACCCAAGCTGACAGAGACTATAGAAAACTGTGATGTGTTTAAGTGTGTGTGTTTAACCACCATAAATAATGGCATGGTCCCATCACTGCGTGGGTGCTGCTTAAACACCTCCTGAGCCCTGTTTGTTCACACTGTGCTGGCAGCATGGTTTGGAAACAGTTGAGTGGGAATAGCAGGCTGTCAGCTGAGGCACAGACTGGAGGATACCTGGCTGGGGTGGGGAGAGAGGTTTTATCCCACTTTGGAATCCTAGAGGACTTTGGGTTGGAAGGGAGCTGAAAGATGATCTTGTTCCAGCCCCCTGCCACTGGAAGGGACACCTTCCACTTGCCCAGGTTACTCCAAGCCCTGTCACTTGGACACTTTCAGGAATGAGGCAGCTATGGCTCCTCTGGTTCAGTATTAATCAGTTCAGTGCTTTTCACATGAACTGGGACCTCAGTGCCTTTATAGTTGAACAGTGGCATCAGCTGAACAATACCAGAAATGAGGTGGTGTCTGAGAATGCTTGGAAAATCCCTATCAATGTGTATGCTGGCATCATTGGAAGCATGGCAGACTAAGGTGAGCATTTCCAAGTCTGGATTGGTGTGCCTGAGTGTGTACAGATGGGAGCAGGATGCTCAAAGTTGGCTCCTGGGACATGACCTGATCTTTATTTTCAAAAACCTATTGTTACTGATGGTGCTGCAGCCTGGAACTGCTCAGTGCCACTGGCACTGCAGCTGCCCACTCACCTCCATGAGATCTGCTTCAAAGATGCCTGAATTTGAGACACCAGGGATGGAAAGCTGTGTCCAGCCCTGCCAAGTGAAGGCTGCGAGGTGGAGCTGCGGAGGAGAAGTCAGGATCTAAATGAGTGGGCTTCGGTGACCGCACTGTGCAGCTCCAACTTTCTGTCCTGCCTGGCTTCGCTGTACCACTGCTTGAGCCTTTCTTTCTGCCATAATTTTTTCTTTTCTTTTCTTTTCTTTTCTTTTAACTTTTCCCCTTTGCTCTCTTGCTGCTCTTTGCTGCCGCTGCCGTGTCCCGCGTGGCCGGCACCAGCGCGCAGCCCGCTGGAGAGCTCGGTGCCCTGCCTGGCCACGCGCACGCTGGACGATGAGCTGGGAGTGCCGCGCAGCCCCAGCGTGGGATGGCTCAGTAAGTGTGGGCAGCGCCAGGGGGGCTGGGCCAGCAGGGCAGGGGGGACAGGCAGTGCCACAGCCAGGCTCTAATGCTTGCTGGTGCGTTAACCTAACAGTGGGGAGAGCGTGGGTGCCTTCTGTGGGGAGTCTGCTGCTCTGGCTGCTCCTGTTGTCGCTCTGTTTCATTCTGTTTGCCTTCTTTCCTTCATCTGGGATGAAGCAGGTAGGTCAGGCCATTCTCCCCTTCCAAGGGTAGTCTAGGATGGCTGCTGGCACTTTTTTTTTTTGTCTCTTGAAGTATCCTTTGCCTGTTAAAGGGCCTTAAATATTGTAATTTTTGTATAAATTATCCTCAGAAATAGTCTGCCAGCTTGATCTCTCTGGGGTGAGCTGGACAGGTCTCTGGCACTGCTCCTGTCTGATTCCCTGTGTCAGGGAGCCTTGCTGATCCCAGAGGAGCGCACTGCTCCTCCCAGGAGGGCACAGCTTATGGCAGTGGTGGCACAGAAGTGTTCTGTGGTGACCATGACAAGTGACTGAAGTCTGAATTCCAGGGTATTCCCCTTGCCAGATGACTATGGAGCTGATTCATAGGTAATGGCATAGAGGAGTTTGGACTGCCTGCTGTACTTCCCTCACTAGTCCTTGGCTGAGCACGGCCACGGACAGGCTCGGGTCACCTTTGCCAGAGAGACAGGAATGGGAATTGGGCCTGGATCAGGAAATGATCCTTTGTTAGCAAGCACCATAAGGATGAATGTCATGGGCCAGAAGTCCTCCACCAGGAGGTCTCAGCAGCCGAAACTTTGTACTCCACATGTTTATTTGGAGCTGCTCTGAGTTTGTGTGGCTATGTTGACCTCCCCAGGAGAAGGAGGCTGCTGGTAAGGGGCGAGAAAGGCACAAAGCCTCCTCCTCTTGGGAGAAGGGTCATTATATCCCAGGGAACAGTCAGCTTGGAATCCAATAAACAAAGCAAACAAGTGATGTAATCTGGAAAAAATAGCAGTTAAATGGGGTCTTAAATAACAGCAGGAAGAATTGGAGCTGAGGATCCCCCTTTGTGGCATGTGATTTGTCTAATTGTGCTTAGCTTTGGCTGTGCTGGTGTTGCTGGACGTGGCAGTAACACACAGCAGATGCAGCTACTTTGAATCTATACCCACATATGTTGTAAAGAAAACCCAGCTCTGGAGAGTCCAGAGTTTTTTATTCCTGCTCCTTTTTATTCCCAGCTCCTGATGCTGATTTATTATTGAGCTTGTTTGTGCTGGGAGCTGATGAACACTGAGAACTTGGACATTCCTTATAATAATATAAAATAAATTTGGTCTCAAAACACAGCCTCAATTGGGAGATGCTTCCTTGCCATTTTTTCTTCCTTTATATTTCCTCCCTTTCCAATGAAGTTCACGGTCAGAAGATCTGGGATAAAAGCTCCTGGTGCTGTGTTTCAGGTTCCTGCAAATGTGATGAGAAGGGATGGGAACATTTCAGGATAATTTTTACTGTTCATACTGACCACTGTGATTTCTGATCCTGTATCCGTCCTAGAAGCCTTTGTTTACTATTAGTTTGTTGTTTGTTTGGGTTGGTTTAAATGTAATTATTCTGCTGTGTCTCTGGAGAGTTTCTTCACCTCTCTGGAGAATATGTCAGGAATTGTTGACTCCTGGCCTGTCGGTGTGGCACACACGTTGTTTTAATCAGTGAGATGCTCCTGAGCTTAGTTAATGAGCTTGCTTAGAGCGAGGGAGGCGTTCATTAGGGGCTGTCTCAAAGGAGCAGGAGCTGCCCCCCTCCCTCTCTTCCTGTGCTGTGTGCAGTGCATGGGATGCTGAGGGGGGCTGAGGCCAGGGCTGTACACCTGGATGTACCGTGGAAGGTCCCAGCTCTGTGGAGGAATGAGTTTGTGGTGGGTCCTGGGTGAGCTGGCCAGCAGTGTGGTGCTGTGTTGCTTATCTCCCACAGGCAGGAATTATGGAAATTCTTGGACTCTTTTGCTGTCCTTGGAGTCACTGGACTGCTAGGAGGGTCAGAGGTGACAAAGTGTTAGTGTCTTAAACCCCCCCTGTGCCACATGAAGTGACAGAAAGCAGCTTGTCAGGGTCTGGAATTCCCCACATCAGCCTCCCAAGGAAAGGTGATGCTGTAGCCTGAGCCTCTGTGTTCTGACTGGATCCAAGCAGGTGCTTTAACTGCTGTTGGTGTTGTTCCTCCAGGCAGCCCAGCCATGGCTCACCGAAACCTGACCTCCACCAGCCTCAACGACATCTCAGACAAGCCTGAGAAGGACCAGGTAAGCTCCAGGCCCAGCCTTTTCTTGGGGATGAGTTTGGAGAGGAGCTGGATGTTGGGCAAAGGGCTCCTCTGTACCTTAGCCCTGGAAACAAGAGGAGTGAGTATTTTTGAGTCCTGTGATTAGTTCCTGCACTCTTTTAGCACCAACCCGTGCAAACAGCAGGTTCATCTCTTACAAGGTCTGAATCAAGTGACACCACGTAGATGGCATCTTGCTGATCCCCATGAGAAAGGAGGTGAAATACTCTGGGAGTGATGGATTTTGGATCCTCTCCCTGCTGAGGGATTACAAGGGTCTGCAGAGGAGCACCCTGGGCTGAATGTTCACAGGAACTATGGGGTAGAGCAGGAGCACTCAGGGCAATGTGTCCCTGCTGCAGCAGCTGGTGGAACAAAGGTGCCACCTCCCCTTGCACATCCTAGTGGGAAGGTGGCTGTGCTCACAGGTGATGTGGGAGAGCAGCTCCAAAATGCAGTCAGTAATCGAGTTAAAATTGGCCTCCAGTGACAAATGTCCATGCCTTGACCTCTTTGCTAGCCCAGGGAAATGTTTGTGGTATGGCATACGGGCTGCCTTTGTGTGTGCTTCCATCCTTCCCCCAGGCTGCCGCCTCTGAGGGGTGAGAGTGAGTTTATTCCAACTCTTAGAAAAACTGGTGTCTGAATGAGGTCTCTGTGCAAGTTTCAAAAAACCTTTGTCTGGGTTCAAAAAGTGGGTTACTCTCAAAGCCTGGCTGTTTCTTTCGGAGAATCTCTTTTTTGGTCTGCATCTTCCAGCATTCCCTAGTCTCATGGTGATTCTGAATGCAAATGAGAGCCACTTTGGAAACCTGTTTGGGTAGCACAGCTTTGCTGGCCAGTTGGGGATGGCTTCCATCCTTCAACAATGGCTGGTCACAGTTTTCTGTAAATCCTGAAAGGGACACAACAACATAATTGAGATACAATAGTGAGTTCAGACTAATTAAACATTTTAAAAAGAAATTGATATTTGCCTAAAGAAATACACTTTCCATGGAAAGAGAAGGGGAGCAGTGTGTTTTGCACTGATCTCAGAGTCATGCAGTGTCGTAGTATGTTCTAGTATCACCCGTACTGGTTGTGTTTCCAAAATACCTGTTTCCTTTAGTACACACAGCCACACCTGGGGAAGAAGGAGGATTGTTAAATAGCTTTTTGTCATTGGACAAACTGCTGTGTGACATTTTTAATCCCATTGTACTTGTGGTTTTAATGCTAGACCAGCCCAAAGCTGGGGCTGAGCATTGCTGCAGCTTTGCAGCTCTCAGCAGTACAGACGGTCTCCACTGCCCCTTCTCTCTCTGGAAATTCAGATAATGGACTTTTGTGGAGAATTAGGTATAAAAATAGATGTTTTTGGTAGCACTGATAGGGAAATCTGTTAATAGATGCAGCTGGGAGCAGGCTCCAAAGTTCTTAACTTCCAGTGTACATAATGCCTGGCTCTTGATGGTGAGAACTATTTCTTGCTAAGTGTAGAGTTCCAAAAATCCTCTTAGTTAATTAGCCCATGTCCTGCTGATGAACTCTGCGCAAAGTGGGAGCCTTGTCCTCCTGCACCTTGAGACATCACCTTAGAGCTCAGTTTTCATGGCTGATCGACTCAAAGTCCTGCCTTGATTGAATTTGTGGCATTGTGGTGGTGCCTGGCAGCTTCCTTGAGCAGGACTCAGTGTGCCATACACAGGCACAGCAATAATCCATCATGTTACCACAGCAGGAGCCGCAAAGGAAGCAAGTTCACTTGCCTTGGCAGCAGGGAGATTGGCTGTTTTTATTTGGGCATCCCATCTGGAAGCTGGACAGTCAGTGAGGCCATACAGGCAGAGGGGAGTGCTGGAGACACAGAACATCCCAGTTTTTATTTATTTGTGTGCCTGTAAGAAATGTGAGGGATGAGGTCAGTCTATAGCAGCTGTGTGGAGCAGGACTGCCTTCCTGCATCCTTCCTGCATCCTTAATCAATCCCTGGTTTTACACAGGTAGAGGATTGCATGCCCATGTTTCAGAGGAAAAAAGGCTTTGTTCAAACTTCTTTGTACCTTCAGTGATTTTCCTGTCTTCCTACATCTTTAATATTCAGTTCTGCAACCTTTAGTGCTATTTGGAATGGTGCAACTAATGATCTAGGGAGCTCATAGCCAGCATACTCCTCTAATCTGCAGCATTCCTGCTCCTTTTCTCTGGATGTTGAAAGGTTCAGGTTTCACGTGCATGTCAGAGATGTGATCTGTCAGAGAATCCTCCCGCATTCATCCCTGCTGCCAGGACCCAGACAGCTCTGCCTGGCTCAGGATGCTCCTTATGTCTGCTGAATCAGGCAGTTTGCACCAGCCAGCTCTCTCTGCCATGGGAATGGTGGCTGGATCCACTGGGATGGCAAAGAGGCTGGCTCAGGATCCTGCAGAAGCCCTGACCCAAACCACTTTGGTGAGCAACAGCTTCAGTAAGGGCCCGCAGACTGGGGGTTTGCTCTTTTGTCATGTTCTGTGCTGTGGGCTTGCTTGGCATTTTAGCAAGGTAATTAGGGAAGAGGAGTTGTATTCCCTTTCATTGTGTTTGCTTTGGCAGAGCACTGCTCCTGAGGTGGCAGCACAGAGAAGGGACTTGCCTTCATTTGTCATATTTTAGGAGTTGTTGGCTGCAGTTAATGCCCTGGGCATTTGCAGCTGGAGAGACAAGCAGTGGCATTTTGGGACAATTTATTCTTCTTTTCTATATAGCAGTTAATAAATGAGCATCTAGACTTCCTGCCCCCTCCTGGGCTCCCAGCTCTCTGTTACTAGATACACCAGCGGTGCTGGAGCTATGTCCATAAACCCAGGGCCTCTCACAGCTGGAGAATTCCTCCAGCTCCTGAATATCAAGTTGTTGGATCAAATTTTTCACTAGCAACATATTCATAGAATCCCATAATCTCATAATGGATTGGGATCTTAAATATCATCCTATTCCACCCCCTGCCATGGGCAGGGCCACCTTCCACTAGACCAGGCTGCTCCAACCCCTGGCCTTGGACACTTCCAGGGATGGGGCAGCCACATCTTAATATCTAAAAAACATTGTAAACCCTTTTTTTCCAGCTTATGTGTGAAGGAGAGTGACTGAAAAAAGTCAAGTAGGTGCTTTCTCAGCCCCTCTGGTGCTGCAGTGCCAGCAGATCACAGGAAGCTGGGGAAGTTCCTACTGCTGTTCCCACTCCAGTCCCTCCCCCTGCAAGAAGCCCTTGGCTGTGCTCTATTAGAATGTCCTTGGCAACTCCAAGTGGCTGCACCACCAGGACTCCTTCAGGGCTCAACATGTAGAATAAAGGGGACACGAAAGGAAATCTGTTTTCCCAGGCACCTGCTATTCCTGAGCTGATGCAACAGCATAAAGCAAGGGAATGTATGTTGATATAAGGGGAGTTTCCTGACCTGGTGTTATCTGTGTTTCCAGAGGGCTTGGATGTGGGACGAGCCTGGCTCTGAATGAATGTGGTCAGTCAGAGGGAGGCACAAAACCCTTCTTATTTGTTGTGGTGTAGACACTGTGTATTCAACCCAGTGTTCCCATGTCAACAGGGAATCTGTGCCAAAGCCAGTGCTGGAGTTAAAAAAGAAATTGGCCTTGTTTAGAGAAGCCCTCCTGCCTTTCCTGGGGACCCGTGGACAGGAAAGCGCTGGCTGGATCCCATTCTTGGGAATGCATTGGGATTGATTGTGGGAGTGATTGCTGCTTTTCCTGCTGGAACATCTTCTCATCTCCACACTTGCAAGCAGACATTCCCAGTTTTGAGGTCTGTCAGCCTGGGTGATGTACTTTCACTCCATGAAGCTCCTGTGAAAATGATTGTCTTCCAGTACAATCAATGCCACCCTTCTGGAGGAAAGGAAAAGCTTCTAGAAAGTTTAGTTAACTGGAATTTCCTTTACTTTCGCTGTTTTTCTTGATGCAGAGGGCAGTTTTGCCTTCCTGGTTTCTCCTCATATCCACAGTCGCCCTCTAAAGCATCCTTGAGTGACAGAGCAGCCTGGAGCCCGGAAGGTGCCCCTGGAGGCAGGTGTTCAAGGGATAAGTTGTGGGAAGGTGATCAGGTGATCTTAAACCTCTGTGTGAGCAGATACAGAAAAACAGAGAGACAGAGACAGGTTGAAGCTCCAGGGGAATTAACCTTCCCTAAGTGCTACTTTGGAGTGTGTACTCAGGAGCTGCTTTCATTACCAGTCAATCCAGAGTGGTGTTGATGATCCGAGTGCTCCAGTACATTTAAGGAGATTGGGATTCTGAGGCTGATGTGCCTTTTTGCAAGTACAGTGCTGGAGACCTGTGGCTTTTGACATAACATTAGTGGTTGGGGTGGAATGATCTTCAGTTTGGCAGGGGAAAGTGAAGTTCCCTCATCCCTCCCATGTTCCTGGATGCTGCTGAGGAGTCAGATCTTTCCAAAGCTTCTTTGGGGAATGGTTCAGAATGGATTTTAAGTGCTGACTGCACTCATTACCTGTCTCATAAATGATTTAAGAAAGTGGTGAGTGGTGCTGCAAAATTCATTTGGAGATTAAAAACTCCATTATAATGGCAGCTCTTCAAAATTAGTGACAGTGGTTTGCTGTGCTGGGCAGGAGGAAGGGGCTGGAGCCTTTAGCCTCAGGAGCTGAGTGGGCACAGGAAATGCTGCAGATCAGTTCTGCCTCAGAGAATCACCTGGGTTTGGGTCAGGTGTCCAAACCAGCCCTGGTGTTTTGAATGGTCCTTGTTCAGCCACACAGCCAGCCAGCCTGGTGAGGTAAATAAAATGTTTGTTGTGGATTTGCCATCTTCCCATTATTCTTTTACCGCCACTGTGTTTCCAAACACTGTCTGTGGAAGAACTGGTAGGGCTTTTCCAGACTTCCTCCACGATGCTCCTTGATGCTTATTTACTGTTTCTTCTGGTGGTAATCCTAACTGAAGTGTGCAGGGGCAGTTTTCTTCCTGTTCAGTCAATTCATGTATTTTCTGGAGACTTTTTCCATTTTCCTCCTTCCTGAGTCACCTCATGCAGCTCATTAGGGATTCATAGCCCAGTTCAGTGCCCCCCTCTTGCTGGTGCTCCTGGCAGTACATCCTCCCTCTCCATTCACCCTTTGCCAGGCACACACAGAACATCTCCAGAGATCACCCAGGGAGAGGGGGCAGATTGGGAACCAGCTGAGGGCAGGCTTTTCAAAAAGCCTTCCATTCAAATTAATTCTGTCGCTGCTGAAATTCAAACAAAGGTGTCTCGCAGAGGCTGAGTTTTAGAACCCAGGGGCTCCTGCTGCTGCTGTGGTGTTTTCCCCTTCCCTGGAGACTTTGAGCTGAGGTCTCCCTGGAGCCTGGACATTTCTCCGTGGCTGGATCCAGACCAAGGGTGCACTGCAGGGTCCATGAGTGTGCACAGTTACTGCACAGAGGTGTAGAGATGAGAAGAACATGCCCAGCGCAACTTAATTTTCTCTTCCCTCCTCTTGCACTGCTGCAGCTGAAGAACAAATTCATGAAGAAGCTGCCTCGTGACGCTGAGGCCTCCAACGTGCTGGTGGGGGAGGTGGATTTCCTGGAGAGCCCCTTCATTGCCTTCGTGCGGCTGCAGCAGGCGGTCATGCTGGGAGCGCTCACCGAGGTCCCTGTCCCCACACGGTAAGGACAGCCAGCCCCGGGCAGGCACCACCCAGGCACCTGCATTTCCACCTGGCCAAGGTAAAACAGCACGCCAGGAGGTGTTCTCCATGCCTTCCATGCTGTGACATGCAGAACCATCAGCATTGGTGGTGCAAAGTAACAAAACTCACTGAAGCTGCTTCATCATTTTCAGCTCCTGAGTTTGGTTATGAGTAAACCATTACACAAACACACTGCCTTAACAACTCAGCAGTTGTTAAGAGCACTGTCAGTGTTGAATTGAAGTCCTGAGGCTTTTTTCCTGCCCCTTCTGTACAGATCCCAGATTCCCTCTGCACATTTTTGCTGTACATATTATTCCTCTTCAGCTCAGAAGAGATGGAAAATTCAATTCTGGCCCTCCTGGGGCAAAAAAAAGTCAGGTGAACTTGGACATACAATTCTACTGGGGCTTGTTGCTTTATAATGCATAATGGCTCAAGGAAAAATGTCAGAGAAATATTTTATTTATTGTGACTCATGTTGCAAATTAACCTCAGTCTCATAGCAATATATCTCATGTTCTTAAATATTTTAAGTCACTGCTTGATTATGCCTGCCTGTCTAAGCTGCCCTGGAAGTTAGATGGCTGCTGGAATCCTTGCCTCTTTCTGTGTACCAAACAAAGGGAAAAGACATCTAGCTTTGCTCTTTAGTGGTAGTAGCAGTGTTTGTGTTTCTTGCAGTTTCATCAAGTGGTTTCTTACAGCCATATCCACAGCTGTCTGTACACTCTGGGTATTCAGGTAGGAGTGTGGGGACCCAGATGTGGCTTCATTCTGTAGCAGGTTATTCATTCCTCTGTGTTCCTGGCCTCTGTGTGCTTCAGTGTTTCAGCTTCCCACTCTAATCCCACTGACTATTTTTTAAACATATCTCCAAATTCTTTTCAGCAGTTGTAAGATGAGATATTGCTTGCTGTGGTGGTGAGAGCCAGGAAGTTAGACCCAGGATTGCTGGGCCGCCTCATTACTCAGTAGCAATAATAAAGGCAGTATGTCCTTCCCTGCCAGCATTTTTCCCAGGAAATAGTATTATCCATTTGGTGTTCTCCAAAGCAAATACTGGCCCTAATCAAAGCAGGAAGGCTCATTAGGTGGCTTTCATGAGTGATGAAGAGCCATTTGCCATGGCTGCATCCTAGGAAATTCAATCAAGGAAATCCCCTCAGGGCCAGGAGGAGCTGTGATGGAGCATCTCCGGTGCCGCCGGTATTCCTGCCGTGGGCCTGCACTTACAGCCCGCAGACTGCAGGATGCTGGAGCCTCTGGCATACCCAGCCTTCTGTCCTGTGGGACCTCTCCTTTTATTTGGTTCAGCTGTTGATTCCCTGGTAAAAGTGCGGGTGCCAGCTGGATGCTGCGCAGCCTCTGGAACTGGACCAGCTCTCTCAGTACTGCCAGTGTGACCCGTGTGCTTCTCTCCTTGGTTTTATGTAGGGCAGGAGGGGGTTAAACACTCAGGTTTTGTCTCCAGTCCCTCTGTCTGGGGTGCTGTGTTAGGTGAACATTTCCTGCTCTTCAGGAACTGCAGATAGAGAAGCAGGGAATGGTTTGGGTTGGAAGGGAAGGGAACTCAAAGCCCATCTTGTTTCAACCCCCTGCCACGAGCAGGGACACCTTCCACCAGCCCAGGTTACTCCAGGCCCTGTCCAACCAGGCCTTGGACACTTCCAGGGATCCAGGGGCAGCCACTGCTTCTCTGGTCAGTCTATGCTGGGGCCTCACCACCCTTGCATAAAGAATTTCTTCCCAATATCCCATCTAACCCTGCTCTGTGTCAGTGGGAAGCCATTCCCCCTTGTCCTGTCACTCCAGGTCCTTGTCCCAAGTCCCTCTCCAGCTCTCCTGTAGCCCTTTTGGGCATTGGAAGGAGCTCTGAGGTTTCACTGGGGCCTCTTCTCCAGGCTGATCACCCCCAGCTCTCCCAGCCTGGTTCCAGAGCACAGGGGCTAGAATAGAAACATCAGGGATATGCAGTTGGAACAGAGATATCTCAGCCTTTCCTGAGTTTTCTTTTTACTGGTCACATTGAAAAAACCTTTAAGGCCTTTGGTTTTCTTGTGTCGAATTTAATCCCACAGTGCTTGGGACTCCTCATTTGGGGAAGCCCTGAGCTGGCAACATGGCTTGGGAATGGCTTTGTATTTTCATCAGAGCAACTCACAATCGTGTGTTCAAGGCTACTGTTTAATGCAGTGAAGATGGGAAGAAAGATGAGGAGTGAGCCAGGAGAAGATGTTTTTTGGAGATAAGCTGCACAGACTTGCACAGTCTGGTGTGCAGAGTTGGGAAAGGCTGGTGTCTGCAGGTCTCAAATGAAGTGAGGTAACTTGTCCAAGGTATTTGGAGAGCGAGGGGCAGATCTGGTCCTCCCAGTGGAGGCTTTTCACTGCAAAGGTACTTTTCCTCCAGGACTTGGCTGAGATTCTTTTGATAGGTGCCTTCAGCCCTTATGGAGTTGCTGTTCCAGCAGTGCATTGAGAGAAACATTGCATTTTATTAATACTTCTGAGAGGCTTTGAGCTTGGTGGAACCTCCCATTCCCTGCCTTGCAGCATTATTAGCAATGTTAGGTGTCAGAAATAGGCATTGGATAACTCAGCATGTATTGTGTGAAGCAGGGAGGAATTCTTGAGTGGCCTTCAGCAGAGGAAGAGGAGGAGTATGGCACAGCATGGAGTGAGGGCTTTTGTGGCTGGAAATGTTCATAACTAAATGATAATAAATCTATGCACACATACTCTAGTTCAGGCCACTTGTTGTAGACAGGTAAAAGAATTATAGAAGAAAGGCCTCATCAAATCAGGCCTGCTCTGATAAATTTATAGCTACCCTGTCATTTCTTCTAAGTGCAGCTGAGTAATTTGCAAGTTCCCATCCAAAAACAATCTTAGGTATGAAAGGTTTGTTAACACAACTTATTCTTAGGTGAAAAACAACTAGCACCTGCATAAACAATAAGATCTGTCTCATGGGAATCAGTAGAAAAAGTATGTAAACTAACTATAAATACAGAAGTTTGATACACATGCAAAATACCACGTACTAACCAATAAACTAAGTGTGAATGTATTGCCCACCAATAAGATCTGACACAGTGTCTTCTGGTAATCCTATACAATATAGCCTATACAATTAAGATTGGTGTTTTCTGCATGAAGAAACAGTCCTGTTCTGCATATTAATGCTACAGCCACTAAAATGCATTAATGTTTTTGTGTTTGTAATGTCTGGCCCGTGAAAAGATCTTGTTCTACCCACTGAAGGCAGATCTGAGCTGAATTAGGACAAAGAATTTGGAAAATGCCACAGTCTCCTTGTTTTCAGGAGTGTTTTAGTAGTGCAGGAGCATTCAGGTGCTGCTGCACTGTGCTGGAAAAGAGCCAGCTGGTTGGGGTTATTGCAGAAGAGGGTTATGGAAGTGCCTGGTTCTCCTGGAAAACCAGGAGAATGCCAAGCAGCAGCTCCTGAAGTTATGAACCTCCTTTTTTTAGTATATTAATATGTTTGGCTAATTTGCATCCTGGAGTTTGGAAAGAGTTGGCTGAGGAACAGTTTTTCTTGAGTGTTATTTTGTAAGAACTGGTAAAGCAGGGAAAGTTCCAGGAGGTGGGAGGAGAGCAGAGGACATGACCTGGGTGTGTGTGGCTTACTCACCTCCCTGTGAACCTCCAGTAAAACACTCAAACACCTCGTGAAAGACTCAATTAAGAGGTGTTGTGTAGTAATGCCAATCAGTATGTATTTATGGATCTTGTCCTACTAACTTGCTGCCTTTTTTCCTTTAGTACTCTAGATTCTCTTGAACAGAAAGTGCTTGGTTGGATAAAATACTCCTCATAAGCCATTCAACTTAGTACCTCATCATATATGAGTTAGGAGATAAAATAATATTTAATCCAGTTGTTGGAAGGGGATAGGTGCTTCTGGTGAGGTTATTTCATCTGTATGTTTGCACTTCCAAAAATTTCATACCATGGTGTTTTTTAAACTCTTCAGCTGTGACTTGGATGTAGTTGCTGCCCAAAGAGATCATGTGGAAAATTAAGTGTCCAAGGCCAGGTTGGACAGGGCTTGCAGGAACCTGGCTAGTAGAGGGGGTAGATAGCCTTTGGGATCCTTTCCAACACACACTGTTCTGTGATTCCATCCCCATGGATGGTATCCCCATGGAAACAAATCCCCATGGAGGTAGACAGGCTTTCGTAGTGCACAGACCATGGTGGGCCACAAGGTGTAACCTCTGGTCCAAAGATAGCTTGAGGCAACTGGCAGCCTCCAGATCTCTAACAAGGACCACAAATTTCAGGCCAGATTTCTGTCTAGGTATTGTATAGGTAATAAGCAGTTGATTTTGCCATCCTAAGTAAGAACAATCTCTTGGTTTTGTCAGATTTCTCTTCATTCTGCTGGGACCAAAGGGCAAAGCCAAGTCCTATCATGAGATCGGCCGAGCCATTGCCACACTGATGTCAGATGAGGTAGGTGTCTTGGCATCTCCAGTGGGAAATGGTTTTCCCAAGTAACAGTGTCCTTCCCTCCAGCCTGGTCAACAGGAAGGCGCATTCACATACAGCTGAAATACCCATGTTACCTCCTAATTCCATCTGTTGACAAAATTACTGCCTCTGACTTTGTGTTTGTTAAAAGTGTGACTCTAGGAGAAGTTTGTGCGCCGTGTGTATTGTCCTGCTAGTGATCACTCTTTCATATCAACTGTGAATTAATTGTTGAATTTATTCTGTTGTGGTCTGCACCTTGTGTCCCATTCTGCCATCCCAGAATCCCACAGCCAGGGATATGCGGGTGATGCCCACAGCACCGTTTCCCCCATGTGGTGCTGCGTGTGGCACTGTGTCCCAAGCACTGGCAGTGTTCATGTGTAGCCAGGAGCAGCTGGCCCCTCCTTGCTGCCATGGACAGCCTTTCAAGATTCATTTACAGCTCCTTTCTTCCCTACAGCTCCTTCATCACAGCTCAGTTGCTCCCAGCTCTCCAGCTTTCTGTCACTCACTGGGCTGCTTCCCACAGCCCCAGAGTCCCTTCCTGCCACCAACTCGTCTGTCACATGCACTGATCCACCTCCTCTCCACACACTCCAGAAGATTCCTATAAAATTCAGCATTAATGATTTCCTCCCCCCACCTTTTCTCGTTTGTTCTTCATTATTAATACCAGGCCTTTCACTAAAACCAGCTTATGATATTGTTTTTGAGTAAATATTGTTATCAGTTCTGTGTCACAGGGATGAAGATGAAGCTGGGTTTGATAGACTGAAGTAGGTGACTTTGTCAAAGTGTCTTCTACAAGTGTAATTGAAAGTCCTTATGTAGAAGAAAACTTTTTTGCACTAATGATATAGATGATTGCTTTGCTAACATTTTTAAAGGTTAGAAATAAATGGTTTTCTTAAAATTAGATATATGCCTAAAAGGAAAGAATCTCTGTTGTTATCCAGCCAAAGGAAGGGGCTTTCTGAGGGTCACACCTCCTTGTGGCGCATGTCCTGATACTTTCTCAGAGGTTTCTGAGAAGGAGTTAAGTTGATTTTGTAGAACTCAGCAGCTGCTTCTGGAGCCAGGGCCACAGAAAATGCAAACCTTTCCCACGGGGAGTCTCTTTTCCTTGCAGGTATTCCATGACATTGCCTATAAAGCCAAGGACCGTCAGGACCTGATCGCAGGCATCGATGAATTTCTGGATGAAGTCATTGTGCTCCCCCCTGGGGAATGGGATCCAGCCATTAGGATAGAGCCCCCCAAGTCTCTCCCTTCTTCAGATAAGAGGTAATAGCAGGAGAGGGGCTGCTGGCCAGGGACAGTGGGCATGAGGGGAAGAGGCAGTGTTCTGGTTGTGCCAGGTCTAAGGAGTGACCTGCACCTGGCTGTCACTATTTAGAAAGGCCTGGAGATATTTTCAGGGAGGGAGGATGTTCCTGGAAGTCTGTACCTTTTGAGATGATGTTGTAGGCGCACAATAACACAGCTGGTAGTTTGCTGGGCTCTTTGAGGTTCCTCTTGGTGCTCTGATATGCTGTGTCCTGGCCTAGGAAGAACATGTACTCGGGTGGGGAGAACGTGCAGATGAACGGCGACACGCCCCATGACGGCGGCCACGGCGGCGGCGGCCATGGCGACTGCGAGGAGCTGCAGCGCACGGGCAGGTCGGTGACACCCCTGCAATGCCTTCCTTGCCAAAGCATCCCCAGCCCAGTGGGCTGTGTGTACAGGCTCAGGTGTGACCCCAGAATGTGTCCTGGGGGCCTTTCCTGCCCAGAGTGAGGCTGTGTGAAGGGTTCAGAACGTCCGGCTTCAGCAGATGGCTGAAGGTCATGGATCAGATTCTCAGTAAATGATAAAGAGCCATTAAAAAGGATGGAAGGCCCAGGTAGGTGCTGCCTGTTGGGAGCCTGGGAAGTCAGATGGGCTGTAGGGAACATAAACATGGCTGGTACAAGCCTCAGTTAATCCATTTGGATTGCTGAAGGGGTGCCTTAGCCAAAAGCAGAGATGTTCCCTTTTCTGGACATTAGTGTTGCAGTTGGAGTGCACAGCTAAAGGCTGTTATTGGATAGAAAGAGAGAGAGTAACAGTGGCCCAGGCCCTACTCTCTGCTTTATTACTCTGCTTTGTGCCATGTTAAAGTCCACTGGAGTGGGAATACAGCTCAGGTGGTCATGAAACAGCGGGTTCAGCATTTCAAGATCAATGCACAGGGCTTCATGGTGGCTTTGTGCCTTCCTTCCCACTCTGAATCTTCTTTTTCAGTTCTAGTTCTAGTCTAAATTCTAGAGGGAAAGTCTGAAAGTCTTCACACTGCCTTGGTGTGTACAAGGCAGTGGAGTGTCCTGATTTGGGGTCAGAAGGTGGTGTGTACCTGTCTGCCACAGTGTCTGTGCAGTCCTGGCAGAGGTGGGGAGCTGTGAGCAGGGGAACAAGAGGCTAAACAAACATTTTTCATGCTGGCAGTGCCAGTGCCATGTGGAGTTTATAGGACTTAAGTACTGTCTTGTCTGTGATCATACAAAAAGGGATATCTGCAAGAAAGTTCTTTTGTCATCCGAGAGTGTTTCCCTTATGTTTTTGCTTCTAGTTCTTTTGCTGGTTATTAATTTGAATCATTTTTCCATGCAGCACATTGTTTGGCTCGCCCAGCCATGGTGTCTGCTATGTGGAGAAATTCAGGCAGGGACTTAGACCAGAGTTAATCTGTTTTATTACATCAACTAATATATTTGGGGGAAAAAAACCAACAGATGAGCTTCCTGACACACAAACTGTAGTGGTCTGTTTCAGCAGAAGTGTGGCTTGTAGTCCTGCAATTTGTCCCTTTCCAGCTGCATCACAAGTTTGAGATATTATCTCTCGTTACAGGATTCTCTCTGAGATCCCTGGACCACCACAGCTATGATAAGGCTGTTTGCAACGTGCTGATCTCACTCCTTAGAGATCATACTTCATTGCTGGCAGTGTCTCTGCTCTGGTTTAGAGTGTTGAGTTTCACTGTGAGACATCTTGCCTGAGTCTCCTTTTGCTTGTCCCTGCAGATTCTGCGGGGGCTTGATCAAAGACATCAAGAGGAAAGCACCGTTCTTCGCCAGTGACTTCTACGACGCTTTGAACATCCAGGCCCTCTCAGCCATCCTCTTCATCTACCTGGCCACTGTCACCAATGCCATCACTTTTGGGGGATTGCTTGGGGATGCTACGGAGAACATGCAGGTGGGCAAGAGCTTTCAGAACCAGCAAATCCAGCCTTGTGCTGTCCAGTCAGAGCAGTGCTTGGGCACTGGCAAAGCTGGAATTCTTGGTACAATAATGGAGGTGTTCTGTGCTTTCACTGCTTTCTCTGCTGCTGTGCTGTTCTTTGACAGCTTGTACAGCAGTTCCTTAAATGGTGAATAAAAGCAGGCCCAAGAAACAGAGAAGGTTTGCTCCTTCTGTACCGAGAAGCTCCTCTGATCTGCTCTCAGTTGTACCATTTTAGTCCAATTCAATTTGCTAACTCTGAATCCTCTGCCTGATTCCTACAGTACCTCTGTAGAGGCTTTGGCCTCTCTGGTGAAAAGAAAATGCCAAAAGTATTAGGAAAATGAGTAACACAGGAGAGAAATGTCAGGTCTTTAGAAAGTAGTAGTAGTTTGTAGTAGTGGGAGGGCACAAGCTGAGAACCAGGCACATATCCATGGACAGGCTGGATCAATGGCTTAGCTCAGGCTAAAGAGAAGGGATTCTCTGTTAACAGTGCTGGAGGTCCTGTGTGTTAGTGGAATAATAGGAAAAGTAGGAGGTTATATTTAGATATATTTGGTTCAGCCAGTCCAGTTCAAATCTCCTAGCAATAATCAAGCTCATAATGATAATGACTGAATTATTAATTTATGCAGGTTTAATTAAGTCAAACATAGGAAATGAGGGCACATATCTGGAACCCTGCACTTCCCTGTGATGAATTACAGGCTAGAGTAAGATCCAGCAGCCCAGCTCCCCTCTCTTCTGTACAAACAGTTTGCCTTTTCCAGGGAAGTCAGGAATGGAGAGGTCTCCAGGTCCCACCAGTGAGCAACACTGGACTGTCATGGGGTAGTACAGCAAAGCCTGTCTGCTCTGCACAAGGTGCAGTCTTTAAATTACAGGAGGAAGGGGAAATGTTACCTGATTCCAAATCTAGTTCAAATTGAGAAACACTTCATTGTGTCCAGAAGTCTCAAGCTTACTATCAAGTAGCAAAAAAACCCTCAGAGAGCAGTATTTTTGGGGTGACTACATCACAGTTTGTGTGTCTGTGTCTTGTCTGTTGTAAACAGTGATGTGACTGCTGCTGGGGCAGGCACTGAGCGTGGCCCATCCCTGTTCCCTGTCCTGGGAGCTGCCCCAGCCAGCACTGTCTTCACAGCTTGCTCCTGAGTTTTCTGTTTCTGAGAAAAAATGCTGTTCTTAGCTACAGACAAGTGGAAGAACGCAGGGAAAAGAGATTCCAGATGCTCTGGCCACAAGGGCCCTCTCCAAGAAAAATACAAGAGGAGTGGAGAGGATCAGCTGTGTGAAGGCTGCTCCTTGCCCTGGGATTACTGGGCTCAGCCTTACAAGTCCCCCAAAGGCAGCCAGCCTGTTGCTTTCCTCAGTGAAAACACTAACTCGTGTCTTCTAAAGGAAGAGAGACACAAAACTGGATTGCAATTCTTGCAGTACCCTTGACAAGTCAGGAGAGCTGCAGCTGCATCCCTGCTGCCTTGGCGGAAGGGAGGGATTGGCCTGTGCTGTTAATGGCTGCTCAGCACATTAATGTGGGTTGTCCCGAGTAACTGTGGCTTGTGTGGCACCAACATCTTGGTGACAGCTGCAGGGGGGGCCGGAGGATGCTGTCCCCTTGGTCACAGGCACAGGGACATGCAGCCACAACAGAAGTGCTCCTTCAGAGAGGGTGATTCCTGTGCTGTGTCCCTGCAGGGCGTGTTGGAGAGCTTCTTGGGCACCGCTGTCACCGGCGCCGTGTTCTGCCTCCTGGCTGGCCAGCCCCTCACCATTCTGAGCAGCACAGGACCTGTCCTGGTCTTTGAAAGACTCCTCTTCAATTTCAGCAAGTGAGTACGTGGTGGCAGTGGATGGGGTCAGGAATGTCCCACATGAAGGAAATCCAGCCAGGGAATGAGCTGCTTGCTCCTGGGGAAGGAGGGGATTTAGTGCACAGAATGAAAGGTCTTGTTCCTTGCTGACACCCAGTGCAATCACATCAGGGATTGTCCCAGCATGCATGTCCCAGGGCACTGCCCAGTGTGTGGCTGCCTGTCTCTGTGGGGCGTCCTGAAACAAAAACAGCCTTGGCCACTTCAGTCCTTGGTGAAGAATTTGCTCTCGGTGCAGTGTGCTGCTTCTCCCCATCACTGCTTCTCTGTCTCCCATAGGAACAAGGAAATGAATCCTGCTCTTCGCTAACAAAATCCCGTGGGTCTCAAGGTTGCCAAGAATTTGTCCAGTGGCCATTTGAAATAGTCACTATTATTTATGAAAGCAAAAGTGTCTCTGGTAGAAACAGCCCCCAGAATTCCATGGGGGAGCTTTTCTGCTTTTAAAGGAAATTTCCTGCATTTTTTCCATTTAACTGGTATAAAGAAGTTCTGCTTTCTCCACTTTGTTGACAGCTGACAACCAAAGCTAAAGGGAGCCCATTTTGTTAGGTGTGATCATTTACCATTCCCACATCTGCAATATTAGGAAGATACACTGGAATCCCCAAAGGAATCAGCAGTGTCATGGATTATTTCACCCATGGGGCTGGTGACCCTTTGGCTGGTGTTTTGCAAGGAGAGCATTTTAGGTTACACAGAATACACCCCAAATCCCTTGTAGTCTGTGTTCTCAGCATGGCAGGTTGTGCAAGACTTGTGTTCCTACATGTAGGGAGGGATGGGGGCTAGAAAAAATGGCTGGAAAGTTAGATTATCCTAGGGAGGGAAACTGGAAACTACCAAAGGGTGAGTTGCACAGTGGAGCAAGAGGTGGGCGCCTTTCTTTTCTTCCCTCATCTGGAATCAATGAATAGAGTCAGGAATGGACACACTGCACTTGTTGGCACCTGGCAAGCATGACAAAGCCCAGGTGCAGCAGGCGGCAGGAAAAAAGCAAGATGGAAAAACACTTTGTACTGTTTTGGAAGGAAGAAGGTGGTTATTGTTAACCTGAGGAGGAGGTGGCAGTTGTAAAAGCCATTGTCCTAACAGCCTGCCAGAGCAGAAAGTAAGACCTTTTCAAAGGAGGCCTTTCTTACAAGGAAATTGGAACTGAGTACTTTGATTTTTCAGTAATGCATTTGTGGTTGTTCATTTTCACAACACGCTGTTCCCTGCTAGGAGCAATCCTGCAGGACACAGTGTTTTTCCACCTGCTCTGTCAGCTTCAGAAGTGCTGCAGGAATTTGAGAAGTAAATGCTAAAATAATATAGTTTAATATTTTTGAAGTTCTTGAATGGTGTGGAGTCAGTGTAGCTGGGTTTCTGCCAGCTGCCTTCAGATGGATGGGATCTCCTGCCCCCTCAGGCACTGACTCTGGATGCTTCAGAGTTGTCACTTGGGTCTTGTATTTTTATTTTTTCCTTTCTCTTTTTCTAAATAATTTTGTTTCTTACTTGCTCCTTGCCCTCTTCCAGGTCAGGGCTTCTGGCTTCCAGAGAATTACAGCTGCCTGAGCCTGCCAGTCCCACCAGCTCTTGCTTCCTTCTTCAGAACAGGCAGTGGCCTTCCTGGCATGTCCTCATCTGCTCCAGTGTTCCCTTGAGGCACTTTTTCATTCCTAAAAGCCCACCGTTGGACTCTGTGCTGGCACAGCACCTCAGCCTCAAGCAGCAAACAATGGGGGGCATTGTCCCCAGAAAGGAATGATGCAGCTGGGTGCATGGCTCTCCATCCCCTGCCATTCCCAGCACCAGGGTTTGTCATAGAATATCCCAGGTTGGAAAGGACCCCTAAGGATGAGCAAGTCCAACTCTGTGCACCTGGCAAGACTACCTAAAACTAAACCATATGACCAAGAGCACTGTCCAGATGCTCCTTGAACTCCATCAGGTTAGGTGCCATGACTGCTTCCTGGCAAGACTGTTCCAGTGTCCAGCCACCCTCTGGGAGAAGGTTTTTACTCTATGTCCAGTCTCAGTCAATCTCTAGGAAGGTAGGAGATCTCTGCAGAGAGACCCGGAGTGGTTGGATGGATGGGCAGACTCCAGTAAGATCAAGTTTAATAAATCCAAGTGCCCAGTCCTGCATTTTGGCCACAATACCCCCTGCAATGCTGTGGGCTGGGGACGGTGTGGCTGGACAGTGCCCAGGCAGAAAGGGACCTGGGGATACTGGTCAAAAGCTGTCTGAACATGAGCCAGCAGTGTGCTCTGGTGGCCAAGAAGGCCAATGGCTCCTGGCCTGGATCAGGAACAGTGTGGCCAGCAGGAGCAGGGAGGTCAATCTCCCTTGTACTCGGCCCTGGTGAGGTCCCACCTTGAGCACTGTGTCCACTTCTGGGCCCCTCAGTTTGGGAAGGACCTTGAGACCCTTCAGCCCATCCAGAGAGGGCAGTGAGGGTGGAGAGGGGCTGGGAACACAAACCCTGTGAGAAACAACTGAGGGAGCTGGGGTTGTCTAGTCTGGAGAAAAGGAGACTCAGAGGTGATCTTATCACTCTCTACAACTCCCTGAGAGGTGGCTGTAGTCAGGTGGGGTTGGTCTCTTTCTCCAGGCAGCGCTGACAGAACCAGAGGACACAGTCTCAAGCTGCACCAAGGGAAGTATAGGCTGGATATTATGAAAAAGCTTTTTACAGAAAGGATGATAAAGTATTGGAATGGTCTGCCCAGGAAGCTGGTGGAGTCACCATCCCTGGATGTGTTTAAAACAAGACTGTATGTGGCACTGGGTGCCATGGTCTAGCTGAGGTGCTGGGGCTGGGTTGGACTCAATGATCTTGAAGGTCTCTTCCAACCTGGTCATTCTGTGATTCAACATCACCTGACTCAGCTTTGTTCCATGTAACATCTGCTTTCTACTTCCTGATCTTATCTAACCCAATGTTTTCCTTTTTTGCCCCCCTTGTCTTGTTGCAGGGACAATGACTTTGACTACCTGGAGTTCCGCCTCTGGATCGGCCTCTGGTCAGCCTTCCAGTGTCTCATTCTCGTGGCCACCGACGCCAGCTTCCTGGTCAAGTACTTCACCCGCTTCACCGAGGAAGGGTTTTCCTCCCTCATCAGCTTCATCTTCATTTATGATGCTTTCAAGAAGATGATCAAGCTGGCAGATCATTATCCCATCAACTCCCAGTTCAAGGTGGACTATATCACTCATTACTCTTGTGCCTGTAAACCACTAGATCCAGGTAAGGGAGTGTTCATTACCTCTCCAGTTTGTAGACAGGAGGTGGCCTTTGCTCTCCTTTTCCCTTGTGCTGCAGCCCAGATAATAGGTAGATTATTCCTTCTTTATCAGTTGCCTTCAGATATCCTGTTTTAGTCTCTTAGAAGCTGAGAGGTACATTTCATCCCAAGTGGAATGTCAGTGTTGCAGCAGACCTCTCATTGGGGGTAGAAGTGAGCCAAGACGTGGACTCTTGTTCAACGACGTGAAAAGGCTCCCAGTTTATTCTTCTCTACAACTGAGCCATCCTGATTGTGACTACAGCAAGCTCCTACTATTGGCTTCCCTGGTGGACTCTGACTGCAGCTAATTCCTGCTTGACTGTGACTGCATATGTTAGTTTGCAGAGTCTGCAGGCTGTTCCTGCTGGAATATGACTGCAGGCTCCAGCAGCAGGCCCCTTGCAAACCTCACCACAGATCTTGTTCAGCAGCAACTCTCTGCCTTTTTTTGTCCATCCTCTAGTTCTTCCTGGTTGTTCCTTCTTCCTCAGGGGTCCCAGATCGTCCTCTTCAAGGTCCACCCCTGAGCAGCCAACCCATCCCTTTTGTCACACTTGTCTTTATTAGTTGCTGTGACCCATTGAGGGTCATAAGGCTGTTCCTCTTCTTTGGTAATTAGTGCAACTGTGACAGGGGCACAGTCACCTGTAATCCCTTCTTCTATACCTACATGTCACATTACAGCTGGCCTTGCTGGAACTCCTCCAGAGAGCATCGTGACCAGGAGAAGCTGTTTCTGCACCCCTGTCTCCTTGCATCCCCGTTCCAAATGGTATTCCAAATGCCATGAAGGGGCAGCAGTGGTGGCCAGGGTCACTGCTGTGCAGCTGAGGTCACTGCCATGGAGCTCAGGCCACTCCTGTTTCAGGAGCTGGATTTATTCAAGGCGTTACCCAAACGTGGGTGGTTCCCACCTCCTGGCTGCACGGATGAGAGGGAAAGCACAAACAATTCCCTCCCTTCCAAGAAGGGAAGTGTATCCCCAGGTCAGCCTATCTCTGGAGTGTGGGCTGCATGGCAGATAGAGCCAGTGTACCTATGGCTCTGGGAACAAAGGATTACAAAACCCAAATCCAAATTGAGAGAGGCTGGCTGTACCATTAGGGAAGTAGGACCACTCCTAGGATCCCATAAACAATGGGGAGTGAGTAAGAAACTTGATCTGTGCCCAGAGCAAACTGCAAGTTATGTTAGCACACCTGTCCAACAGGAAAAGCTGCTGGCTGCTCCTCGCAGGTGTCGAGAGCCCGTTCCCTGGGGCTGGGTGCCTGCCTTCCCTATTAACACAGGACCTTGGTGAGCACAGTCTGGTTCTGCCTCTGCTGGAATGGCAGAGTGAATTCCTTCTTGAAACTAGGACGATGGGAATGGTCAGTGCCAAATTGCAAGTCTCCACTTCCCATTGAAGCACTTGTGGCTCTCCAGACATCCAAGTGAAAAAGTTTATTTATGCAAAACCTCAATCAGCCATGAGCCCATTTTACAGGAAGGATTGCATATCTAAATGAAATTTCAAATTCATGATTCCTAATGCTTCAGAAGCCACAGGGAATGCTGCTCCTTCTTTCAAAGAAATTATCCCCATCCTGTTGATTTCAATTTCTTGCTCTCTTTTTTCTTTCTTTTAATTCAAAACGGTGTTTATGCTGGACACTGAATCACATTTTGCTTTTCTGGGTATCTTTGGTGTTGTGCTTGCATTTGAAATCAATCATTAGGAGTGCTCTGTGGGTATTTAATTTAATCCAGAAATCATTAGGAAAATATTGGAAAGCTATGAAATATTATATTGTCTGTCTGGTTTTTTCTGTTTTTTTTTTTTTACCATCAACTCAAAATATAATCCCCGTTGGTTTTGGGTTATGTTTCAATTAACCTTTTCTTTTTCTGTTTTGTGAGTGATTGATGATTGAGGCTTTTGAGTCTCTCTGAAACACTTGTGCCTAACTTTTCTGGAGCAAAGAGGTGGCAAACAGCTTGACAGAGAAATTATTTAATAATTGGAATTGTCTCTCCTTCCCAACGGTTTCCTGCATCCTGCTTACCATATTGCCTGTTTTCTTTTCTCTTGCAGTTAATAGCTCATTACTTAACAGGACCATGGTGCTGTCAGACTATGAGCTGGTCTCTCCCTCCTCTGAGCTGGTGAGTTCCCCTTGGGAAGGCAGGGATCACGTGGCCTGCAGAGTCTTGTGGTGCCACTCTGCTGGCAAGCTCTGGGTAGCAAGGAGAAAGAAGTGGAGCTTGCTGGATCACGTCCCTGTGTGGGGGAAGGAAGTTGAGGCACAGAATAACAACCTCTTTTAGTCAAACACCAGCAGGAAAATGGTCTCACCCAGACCGTTCTGTGCTTCAGTGATTTTAACTCCTGCATGCTGCCTCCCTGTTCCTCTCAGATACTCTGTCACCATTCCTGTCCCACCATGGGCCAAGTACCCACATCCTTATGGAAACATTCCCTTTTTTCCTGTAGGCCAACAGCACCATTGACTGGGCAGCTCTGACAGCCAAGGACTGCTTGAAGTATGGGGGTCAGCTTGTGGGCAACAACTGTGACTATGTCCCTGACATCACCCTCATGTCTTTCATCCTCTTCTTTGGCACTTACACCTGCTCCATGGCCCTGAAGAAATTCAAGACCAGTCGCTACTTTCCCACCACTGTAAGTATCTCCTGTCACTCCATCAGTCTTTGTGAGGGCACAGCTCAGCCTTCCTTTTGGAGCTGCTGTCCTACACACAGGGAGGGATGCTCTGCAGGGAAGCAGTCGGGATAAAAGTGCAGCTGGTTGTTGGATCTGGTTATCAGAGGGATGTCTGGGATTGCTCCCAGTGCATCTGGAGAGCACAGGTAAAGCAACAGAAGAGCCAAGAGGAGCTGTAACCTGCTTGGGTAATGTGGCAGGGGTCTTAAAGGTGCTGAAGGCAACCCTTCCAAGCTTTCAGGCGCATCTCAGGTGCATCTGCCTGTTTTGTCCCTTGGTGAGGCTCCCAGGCCAGGCGTGTGAGCCAAAGCCATTTCTCTCTGAGACTGCCCCGTTTCTGGCATCCTGACACACAGGGATTTATCCTGCATGGATGTTTACTGTTCCACTGTGTTACAATTGAACCTCTCTTATTTTTAATACAAAGGAAACAAATTCCATCCGGGCTGGAATGCAGCTCAATTTATCTGTAACCATGCAAACCCAAGAAACCTGGAAGGAACAGCAGCTCTGGAGAGCTCACACAGTTCCAGGCTAGCACAGTGCCTCCTGTGTGGTTAAATTCTGGGGTCTGATCACTGGCAGCTCTAAGTTGTTGTATTCCAGTGACTTCAGGAGAGCTGCAGTCTTAGGGATTTATCTGGGAAGCCTGGTTTGTTTTCCTGTCTGCTTAGTTTGACTTATTACTTGAACAGCAAACAGTGTAATCTCTGCCAGTCCTTCAGAGTATCTCATTTGTGGAAGTTTGTGCTGTTTCTATGCCTCCATTTAGGCTTTCAGAGAGCACAGTAAAGTACCAAGGCATGTGTGGCAAATGACACTGGACATGATGGTGGCCATATTTGTGGGGGAAGAAATTATGAGCTTGTCCTGCCAGTGTTTGCCATGTGGGCACTAAAGTATGGGTGAAATGCTGTTCTGGGGTGTTAACTCCTGTGGTTATGGTACCACGTCTCTTTCAGGCCCGGAAGCTCATCAGTGACTTTGCCATTATCCTGTCCATTTTGATCTTCTGTGGAATTGATGCCCTGGTTGGTGTGGACACACCAAAACTAATTGTGCCAAGTGAATTCAAGGTATGTTGTTGTCAGCTTGTTTGCTGGCTTTTGGAAGAGGTTCCTTTTCCCTTGCACCTGCCCTGTGTGGAGTGACTTGCCCTCAGAATGGGAATGTAGTCAGCAATCTGGAAAGGGCCTGTTTACTCAGAGGCTTAGGGTTAGGAGGCTTTTTGTTAGCATCATTTTAATTGGCTGGTTTATCTCCTAAATTCTGCCTCCATACTTGGAGCCTTTGACTGGTGTTAATGGATAGGATGAAATTGCCACAAACCTGAAGTGTCTCCCTGGAGCTCCGTTGCTGGAAGCAGACCTGGCTTTGGGATTTCATCACCCCTGTACTGTGCCTCTAACACAAGCTTTCTTTTCCTTGCCCTTCAAAGCCAACCAGTCCCGAGAGGGGTTGGTTTATCCCACCTTTTGGAGGGAACCCGTGGTGGGTGTACCTGGCAGCAGCCATCCCTGCCCTGCTGGTGACCATCCTCATCTTCATGGACCAGCAGATCACCGCCGTCATCGTCAATAGGAAGGAGCACAAGCTCAAGGTGGGTGTGCCTTGTGCCTGGAGCATGGGCAGGGGCTTTTACCCCTGCCCCCTTCCTCCCCATGGACACGAGCCTATTCCCTGGCACTGGCTGCTGTTTCTAAGCAGGAAAAGTGGCTTTGTGGCCAAAGCTGCACGGTGCTGTCAAATACCAGCAATAAGCTGGAGAGATTTGGGACATATCAAGGGCATAGCCTCAGCTGGATGTTATTTAAAGAAGAGCTGATATGTAACAGCCTAAAATGTAGTCATGTTTTTAAAACAAACTTTCCAGACCAGTGGTATGCAGTTTTTCATGCCTGTAGGGTTTTTTTCTGTTCCCCTGCATGGTCAGTTCTATTGGAAAATATTAAATTCCTGTGAAAGAAGATTGTCTCTTCCTGCTCACAGGGCATGTTTCAAGTGGTCTGACCTGTGGGAGTAATGGCTCCCTCAAAACACAGGCAATGGTGGGTCATTATTTAGATACCTGCTTTATCAGTTATCAGGAGAGCTGTTGGAAATGGGAAGGGAGCTTCTGCTTGGAAAAGAGGAGGATGTTTCAATTCATGTGGTCACTGTAAATGTTAGACAAGTAATGTGTAATTTAAGACCATCCTGAGCCCAACCTGGAGGAGAGAGTTGAAGTACCAGGGAATGGGAATGGCTTCTTATGCGCAGTGATGACTGCTGGCTGATGATTTAAAAAACCCCTCAGAACATCCTTGTTTGCTACCTGGATCTGAGCAGATAAACTCAATATTGGGCCCTCATGTTCCTCAGAGATGACTAAGCAGTTTTAGGTCTGTCTCTTGCACCTAACCAAGCAGACATAGCATTTTCTTCAACACTGTAAGAAAATATTCACTGTTCTTCCCTCATGAGGAAGAGGCCCCTCATCTCTGCAGCTTATGAACCGCTGAATGTGGTTTTGCTGTCAGCACTGGCTGTACTTTTTTAGCAACAAAGTTATAAACACTCCAGTACTCCAAAGTACTGTTTGATGTAAAAAATGTATTCCCTGCTTCCTTTGTTTATGGTGTGAATATGGTATTTTGTGGAATTGAGGGTTCACAAGCCCCATCTTGTTGTTCCACACCAAAAAACACTTCTATACACAAGATCTGCTGTAGGAAAAAGATGGTTTTTTCTGCTCATCCCTTGCTGAAGTGTTGGCAGGGTACTGCTGGGTGCCCATCCCGGTGCCACCAGCCAGCCAAGGTAAGCAGTGCACGTGTCAGGAAAACAGTGAGGACTATTCAAGAGAAGCTGGATTGGCCTCCCTCCTGGGTCATCCTAGGCCTGGATCATTTTGTTTTTTCCAATAAAATCAAGCTGAATGGGATTTTAAAAAGGTTAATCTGTTTTAAAATAGCAAACCTTAGAGGTTTGTCCGCTGTTTTTCTGAAGATCCCTTTTCTTGGTGGCTCTTTTGTTTCTTCTCTTGGCACTTGTGACTGCTGGAATTCCTGTTTTATTTCATTACAGGATTTTGAAAATAGAGGATCAGAGGTGTTTGAAAAGGAGTCAAGAACAAGGGCAGCTTTCTCCTCTGGGTAGAGAATGAGGCTTCAGCTGTTCCTGTTGCACTCCTGAAGGAGCATGGGGTTGTGTCGTGAGGGAGATGCTTCCTTATGCTGTTCACAGGATCCAATGTATTTCTGGTGTTTGGCTCTGTTGGCCAGGGTGCTGCAGAAGGAAATGCTGCCTGTCCAGTGTTCCTCTGCCCTGCTCCAGAGGCCTTTGGAATAATTAAGCTGAAGGTTGTTTGTCTCCCTCCACAGAAAGGTGCTGGATATCATCTGGATTTGTTCTGGGTGGCCATTCTGATGATTGTCTGCTCCTTTATGGGGCTGCCCTGGTACGTGGCTGCTACCGTCATCTCCATCGCTCACATCGACAGCCTGAAGATGGAGACGGAGACTTCAGCCCCTGGAGAGCAGCCCAAGTTTTTGGGAGTGAGGTATGTCCCACCAGGAAGTCTCAATTACCTTGTTTGCAAAATCCTTTTGCACAAAGAATTTTGTGCTGCCTTTTCCCTATTTCCAAAGCCAGGTCCTTGGGCGAGCCCCCTTGTGGCTCCTCCAAAGTTTACTTGGCCACATCAGGTGCAGTGTTCCTGTGTTAAAGGAAATAAATTTCCTGCAGGCTTCTCTGTCCAGGGAAATGAAGCAAATTCCTTAGCAAATGTAATGGTCAAACAAACAAACCTATCATACCTAGTGCAAGCAGCTTTACTTAATGAAGCATCTTTTTCATGTGTTTGGGTGTTTTAATTAAGTGGTCTGAAGTGCTTCCAGTGGGATTACTCCTGGAAATCAGGCAGCTTATTTAGGTAACTAGATGGAAATTTTATGGCCTGTCTTTCAGCATTCTGAAATATTACTGGCCGAGGTGGTTTCGGGTGTGGAGGGCCAATGGTGGAACAAAACTGTCTGAGGTTTAAAACAGAGGTCTGGCTCAGGATCCAGCCATCTGCCTGAGGCTGTTGGATGAAAAATGTGGCTGCAGAAATGAGTTTTGGGGATTCCTGTTGGTGTTCAGTACTTGGGGTCCTGACTCAGTGATGTTGTTTCAGGGAGCAGAGAGTCACTGGTGTGATCGTTTTCATCCTGACCGGGGTGTCTGTCTTCATGGCTCCCATCCTGAAGGTAAGGACTGTTCACGGTTCTTTGAAGGCTTAAATCCAAACCTTTTGGAAGGAAACACCAACATGGTTGTAGTGTGCTAGAACAGTCACCAAGTTCAGGGCTGGGGTTCTTGGGCACTGTGGTCTTTTTCATTTTAAGGTTATTTCTCCATGTTTGCATAAAGTTAAGCTCCCTTTTCTTTTATACCTTCACTCTTTGTTTTATGGAAAACATATTCTGGATAAAGCTCAGACTATGAAAAACATGTTTCTGGAGGAAGCAGTCCAATTAAATGGCATTTCTTAGTCTTTGAACCGTTTTTTTCCTGTAAGTTTAGCCAAAGCTCTGGATAGATGTGCTGCTGATGGGACCATTGCATTTAGGTAGGTTGTTGTTTTCCAAGACCAGAGATTTGGTGCATGTAGCCATGGAGAAATGCATCCTTAGTGGATCATCAGATTGTAGAAGGAAACTGGAGAACCTGTCTTGTGGAGGATGCTGCCTTCTCTGGGGATAGTGATGGAAGTGGTGCCAAGCATGCACATACTGTCCAACAGGAGGTGTCAGCTGCAGGAGCCCTTATCCATGGATCCATAGGCCTATGGTAGGAGCAGAAGATGTCAGAGCAGCAGCACTGTGCATTGTGACCACAGCACCGAGCAGATGGGTGTCTGGAAGACCATTTGTGGAGGCTGCACAGAAGATTTTGGAGGCTGCAGGGCCAGTGAGGCACAGTGGGATGTGAGCCTGAGGGGAGGAGGCAGGCAGGGAACAGTGACTCTGCCTGTGGAGGGAGTGGAGACAGTGACTTTTCATGCCAGTGTGTTCCTGTTCTTAATTTCTAGGGCTGTTTGTACAGCTCGAATTTTGGTGTCTCAGGTAACAGCTTCCACCTCCACACAAACAGGCATTTCCATGCCTTTAATTTAATGCCTGATTGTGATAATCCTGCTTTTCAGTTTATGTGACCTTTCCCTGCAAGATCCCTCTTCCTCTATCCCACTGGGGTCTGTTAGTTCCCCTGTTATTGCTTCAGTCATTCATTCTTTGTCTGTGCTTCCCCTAAGACAGTGTGTGGGGAAGATCCTCGCTGGAGGACGCCTGAGGATAAGTCAGCATGCTGCTGGCCCACGTGCCAGAGGGAAGGACCTGGCAGGATTTCAGGACCTTTAGCAAATTCCAGTGGCAGGGTCCTGCTGGAGAGAGCTGCACTGCTAAATGCATTGCAGAACATTTCAGTCTTCTCCTGCCAGCGGCAAATTGAATGTTGACAATCCCAAATTTAATAAACCAGGCAATCCACGGAATAATCCCAGCTTTGTTTGCTGAGGGCTTTGCGGTGGTTGTGCTGGTTTTGGATGGTGCTGGTGTTTCTGCTCAGCCCAGGCAGATCTCCACAGAAACATCCTTGGCCCTGCTGGGAGGGTGACAGGCACTTTCCTATAAATACAGTTTTAGTCCTGTTGGCCTGCAGCAGCTTTGTTTGGGGGCCAAAGCCAGCACCCCCATCGTTAGGGAATGCTTTGCCAAGAGAAAGTCTTCCAAAATGACAGCACCACTTGCTGCTCTGCAGGCTCAGGTACTGAGGTTTCACCTCAGGATAATGTACAGGATTAATCATGATGGAATGCTGAAATTGTTCTTACTTTTAAAAAAACCCATGGAAATAAATAGAAGGGCAGGAGAGGAGAGCAGTGAAAATGAGCTGTCAAGCTCAGCTCTTGCTTACTGTATTGTGTTGTGTGTCATCCCTGAGTTCCAGTGAGGGCTTTGAATCCCATGATCACCCACAGCTTTGTGAAGCCCCTGCCGGGTCCCTGTCCCTCTCACAGCAGAGCTGTTGGCAGAGCCCAGAAAAAGCTGCAGAAAAAACTTTTACCTTCAGATGGGAAACAGCAGTGTGGCTCACTCGAGGGAGCAAATAAACGCAAGAGAAGGATGAGGTAGCAGTTCAGAAGCTCGCAGGAGGGGACAGGCAGTGAGACTCAGGAAGGAAGGAGAAATGCAGGCAGGGACGCTCTGGATAGCATATGGCTGGGTGACTTTGGTGCTTATGTGGCCCCAGGGAAATGCCTGCTGGAAGCAATGAGCAAGGTGGTGGGGAATATGCTAAAACACTGCATAGCTGCAGTGTTGTTTGCCTCTCTAATGAGCTCAGTGCAGGGGTTGGAAGGGGAGGATTCCCAGCACAGGACTGCTTGGAGCAGTGGGTGCCATGGCCTGGCTGTGGCTGCCATTCAGTGGCAGTCCCCTGGCACTGCACTAGGGACTGTCCTTCGGAGCTCATTCCATCCTCCCTGGGCACCAGTAAATCCCACAGAGGCTGGTACTCAGCTCCTGCCTGTGGTTTGATCCAGGCATCCCTGTTCCTGTCATGCCAGGCAGGCTGCCCACTCCTCTGGTGAGGGATAGAGACTCATTCCAGGCAGCCTGTCTGCTGCTCCCCTGCACCTTCCTCACTCCCAAAGGGAGGTGTGCCCCATGTGGAGTTATGGGCAGCACTTGGCACTTTGAGGGAGCAGAAAGTGATGTTCGAAAGAACACATCCTGGCAACAAAGAAAGGAAGTCAGTCCTGTATTTGGGAGTAATTCTGGATTAATGTGTGAGAGAGACAGAGCAGGAAGAGATTGGGTTGGCACGACTGTTGTTGCTCAGGTGGGACTCCAAAGAACATCCTTTCTGCATGGATTTGCATGGTTTACTGAGCTGGACTGGACATGGAATCACAGGATTGTTTTAATTGGAAAAGCTCTCTAAGATCACCCAGTTCCACCAGCACTGCCAAAGTCACCACTAAACCATGTCCCCAAGAGCTGCCTTTAAATTCCTCCAGAGATGGCAACTCCAGCACTGCCCTGGAAACCCTGTGCCAGGGCTTGACAACCCTTTCTGTGAATGTGTTTTCCTGAGATCCTACCTAAACCTCCCCTGGCACAACTTGAGTTACCTGGGAAAACGCGGTGTACCACAAACTACAGGATTGTTCTGCCTTTCCTTCTTCTCTGCCTTCTGTTTCTAGTCACACCACAAATCAGAGGTGAAAGGCAGTTTGAAGCTCACTGGAACACATTTGCCCACCTGTTCCTTGACTTGCTGAGTGACTGGAATCATGCCCTCTGGACAAGATGTCCAAGTCCTGGTGAACTGGGAGAGTGTGATTGCACAAATGTCCTTGTGTCTCTCAGAACACAGCAGGAGGATTTATTGTTTATTCAGCTTCATTTTATGAATTACATATTTACATATTGTTTCTTCAGCTTTATTACTTCCATGGCTTCATTCCTCTCTGTCATTCCCCCGTGGGTGCAGTTTGGATGGCTGACAGGCTGGGAATGTTGTCCCACCACGTGTTAATGGTGTGTGGTGTACAGGGAGGTTCTCACCTGGGCTCTCCTGCTCTTCTTGTCCCACAGTTCATTCCCATGCCCGTGCTCTATGGTGTCTTCCTCTACATGGGAGTTGCATCCCTCAACGGCGTGCAGGTGAGTCATCAGCCAGCACAGGGCTTCTCCCACAGCCCTCCAGCTTTACCCTTCTCCTTCACTGCCTCCTCCTCCTTCCCAAGAAGCCCATGAAGGGTGGCAGCTGCTGGCAAACTTAGCCACAAGCCCGGGTGTCCTGAAATGGCAGACCAAGGGACAGTGGCCAAGTGGGCACTGGCAGTGCCAGGGGTGCTTTGTGAAGACCTGGGTCCATCTTTGGCAACCAGGATGGGGCTTGGGGTAGCCTGGTCTGGTGGAAGGTGTCCTTGCCTATGGCAGAGGGGTGGAACAAGAGGATCCCCTTAGGATCCCCTCCAACCCAAACCATTCCAGGATTTTACAGGCTTCTGCCCCAGCTCAGGCTCGCTCCCAGGGTAGTTTGGGTCCTGTGCCACAGACTGAAGGCAAGGAAGGAGGATGATTTATGGCAGTGGGGTTGTTCCTCAATGCTAAGGAGCAGGGACATTGTTCTCCAGGGAGGGGAAGCCATTCCCCTCTCTTTGTCGTTGAGGAAATCTTACATAAGGAACCACTCTCATGCCCAGCGCCTGTAGCTGGCCCAAGGAGGCTGGAAGTGGTTTTGTTGCTTTCTGGCACCTTGTTAATTGAGGCCTTTCTTTTTCGTGCCGGGTTGTGCCCTGAGGGGAAGGGACTGCCTGTTCTGTGAGCCCCAGAATTCCCTCAGGCGTTCTGTAAAACGGCTCCAGCTTCCATTCAGTGCCGCGGTTCCGTCTGGTCCCGGCAGTGGGCAGTGAGCCCGCGCTCCGGCAGGGGACAACAAGGGGATTGTCCCGCTGCCCTGGGGCGGCTCTCCTGGAGGGGATTTCCCCTGCTCCCGACCCAGGTGGCGGGGGGGGGGGGGGAGGGGGGGGGGGGGGGGCTGGGATCAACAGTGTTTTGTACTCACTGAGAAATCCCCATTTTGGTTTAGCTCCAAGTCCATCCGGTCCAGCACAGGGACACTGCTGGGAAAGCTGCCCATCTTCCTCGCTCTTTGGTGAGGTGCTGTTCTGTTTTCTGGCAAGGCAATGTCTGCCCTCGCCTCTGTTGACCTCTGCTCCTGATTTATTTGGGGAAAACAAAAGCACAGCTTCTAAAGGCTGAATATCTTTCCTTGGCAGGAGCAGGGAAAGGGAGGACAGCAAGAATTCCCCAGAGTGTGATGCTGACCCTGGTTTGGGCATTCATCTTGTTTTCTCTCTTTTTTTTGTGCATCCTGTGTTTCATTTCAACATCTCTTCCTTTTCATTTCCAGTTCATGGATCGACTGAAGCTGCTCTTGATGCCTCTAAAACACCAGCCTGACTTCATCTACCTGCGCCACGTCCCGCTGCGCAGGGTGCACCTCTTCACCTTCTTGCAGGTGGTGTGCCTGGCCCTCCTCTGGATCCTCAAATCCACCGTGGCTGCCATCATATTCCCTGTCATGGTAGGTGTTGCTGTCCTCCCCAGCCCTCCCTTTCCCCACAGCCTGCTCCTTTCCCCCTTGGACACTCCTGTACATGTGTAAATCCAGCCTCTCCCTAGCGAGTCTGTGCCTCACAGCTCCACTCGTGGCACTCAGGGGGCTCAGTGTGACTGTGGCTGCCTTTCCATTAATCCTCTGGAGGAAAATGAGCCTGGAAAGTTAATTTTTTCCCAGGAAGGTGTAGTTAGTGTTGACCAGTCCTGGCTGCCAAGGTTAGATTTGCTGTGGTTTCTCCTTGAGCTGCATGAACCGAGGAGAGGTGCAGAGTTTCTGGCTTAGCCCACACTAGCTACCAGATGCAAAATGTCTCCTTGGCTTTTAAATAGCACAAATTGACAGAACCAAGAAGGAGGCTCAGTGCTAAGAGAGGTGTCAAAGGGAGGGAAAGGGAATGTCTCTTTTCCTTGGACTCCAGTAAAAAGACACTAATGTTGTTTACCCTCTGTGGGTGACTATTCATATTATTACTGGAATTATAGACACAGCTAGGCACTCTGGCTTGGAGATGGGTTTGACTTGTGCAAAAGGCAAAGTTTTATGAAAGTCCTGAATAACTCTTGGTCCCAAGTCACCTAATTTCAGGTTTATGGACATGTAAAATCTGAGTTGTGGGGGCTGGTAGGAGCTGCAGTGCTTATGTAAGGGAGAGAGGGAGGGAGGACAGAACCCAGGTGAAGAACAAGATGGTGAAATTAGAAAAGATTATGCCAGTTAAAAAAATCCTCCAAATGTTCCTGCTGAGACACATGCTCCTGTGAAAGATGTAAAAAATCAGTAATTCCCACTGATGTGGCATTCCATCGCAACTCCATGGCTGTGTTGCACTGATGTTGGAAGCTGAATGTAAAATCTCTTTGCCCATGCTAGAATCTGATTGCAACCCAAGGCTGACCAAGTTTGTTAGAATAGTGCAGACTCAGGGAAGGCACAGCCACAGCTTCGATGGAGCTGGATGTGATGGCAAAAAGCTCCATTTTCTGCACTCACGAGCAAAAAAGCACAAACTTCAGTTTGTGAGGATTCAGCCAGTGGCCAAGTCCCTGTTTATTTGGAGGAAAGGCATTTTCAGCACAGTAATCCACAGTGGGATGGTCACAGTGTCTGTGTGGTATCTTTCCCCCATGAGTAATTCCTCACATCCGTAATTGCCCCTCAGGTTATGCAAGTCAGAGCCTGAGATCTTCTCCTGGGAATTGTTTGTGCTGTGCATCAGGATGGCCTGGCACAAAGCTGTCCTTAAAGACAGCTTCTTGGGAGTAGGTTACAGCTCCCAGCCCCTTGCTGTACCCTCTGCAAAGCCTGTGTGGGATCTCAGTGGCCTCTGCTGGGGCTGTCAGGCCCAGTGTCCATGTAAGCACCCATTTCAGACATGTCCCTTCCTTCTTTCCCAGTGCTTTTGTTGCAGTCTTGCACAGAACAAGCTTTTACTCCAGTTTCCTGCTGCCACAATCCCAGTAAACTTTATTCTGCAATCTCTGGGGGCGTGAATTGGCCCTTGTCTGATTTCTTAAAAGTTCATCTGGGCAAGTGGTGAGAAATAAGTCAAGGTTTTATTACTCAGGCTGTCCTGTGAACCTGCCTCCAAAAGTAAATGAAAGTGCTCATTTGTTTGCTCTTTATTTCCTAATACAGGAGTGTTAAATACAGGAGTATTCCACTGCTTCTGATTTTTTCTGACATGAGGCAGTGACAGCACAACCTCTTAAGCTGACAGAGATGTCCCGGGTGTTCACCACCTTCTTCGTATGTTCATTTACAGCCAGAATTCGAGAGTGTGGGCTTAGAAGCAGAACTGAGAGGAATGCAGTGTGCCAAGTGAAAGGTAAAATGTGACTGGGAATCCCTCTCTGCCTTTGCAGATCTTGGCCCTGGTGGCAGTCAGAAAAGCCATGGACTACCTCTTTTCCCAGCATGACTTAAGCTTTCTTGACGACGTCATTCCAGAAAAGGACAAGAAGAAGAAAGAGGATGAGAAGAAGAAGAAAAAGAAGAAGGGCAGTATGGACAGTGACAATGATGATGTAAGGAGCTTCCTGCTCTTGTCACATTGCTCCTCCCTAGGTAGCTAACCCCCTGCACATTCCATGCCCTGCCCAGTGCTGAGGCTGGACATTTGCCAGCCACTTGTGGAGCTGACAGCTCGGTCTGCCACTGCTGCAGCTAATGAGTCCCAAAGAAAACTTAATTCCTACACAGCCTTCCCTTTTCCAGCCTGTGGTGGGTGATTTGTGCATTGCTAGGGGTGAGGTTGCACTTTCCAAGAGCACCAGGTACCTGCTGAGGTTTCATGCCCCCTGCTAGAATGCCTCTTGTCACCCTGCCTCCTCCAGCTTCCCTCCTACACCTTTCTCCCCTTCGTGGTCTCTTACATTTTAGGAGGAGAATGCTTTTCACCAGCAGCTCTGGCCCTACTGGTTTTCTTTTTTATTTTTCAAGTATTTTTGTAATGGCTCTTTTGGAAAGCACAAAATAGGTGTGATTTGTCATATTGCAGGAAAAGCTGCTTGGTGTTGGTAAAACTCATCACCTCCATGTTTCCTGAGCATCCGTGCCCTCTGCAGTGCACTCTGGTCCTACCTCAGGTGGCAGCATGCCCTAAATAGTGAAAAGTGACCTGGCTAGGCCACACTCATGTGCCTTTGACTGTTCTCTTTCCTCCTGTATATGTAAGAAGAAGAAATGTAGTCTTGGTGCCTTTAAATGTTCTCCTGCTCAGGTCTAACTCAAATGCTTTAAATTTATGTTGAAGTGCTAAACACAGTCCGTGGTGAGTTCTAAGCATGGTGTCACTTCTTCTGCTCATGTCCATGAAGAAGGGCCTTTCCTGGGCTGTAGGGAGAGGTAAGGTCACCTGAAGCTGGGAAAGAATCCCCTTTTAGCACAGCAGGAAAAACAGCTGGGAGGACTGGCTTTTAGTTGAGACAGCAAGCTGCCCTGTCCCATCATTGCTCCAGCTCCCAGGGTTTTCTTTAGCACCCTTGAGCAAACCCAGATGAGAGTAAAAGGGGCTCTGCTGAGGAATCAGCAATGGTTTGGCTCCATCCCCTCCTCCTGACTGGTGTGAATCCAGCAGTGTATCCATGGGGGAAGCCATGGCTTCCCTCTCTCCTGTCTGTTTTAAGGTATTTCCTCTCTTCCCAGGCTTTTCCTGAATTCCAGGTACAGTAATTAATCTAATGGGTAAGATATTTTATGCAAAATATTGGTCCTTAACTCTTGCTGGTTTTTTTCAGCACTTGCCTTTCCTAGCTTCCTGAACATACAGCACTGGGCAATTACTGGTTGGATTATTTTCACCCTTTCCCTTCCAGAAATATCCACCCCCAGAGTCAGTCCTGTGGGATCTGGGGAGCAGTGCATGGATCTGAGTTCAGCCAGGGGAGTTGCTGGGTGTCACTTGTGCTTTCTTTGAGTTCTGCTTGTCCCTCAGCCTCATAAAAATAGTCCTGAGGAAACATCTTGAAGTTGGAGTATGAAATAAGGCACTGGATATCAGTTATGTTAAAAAATAAATTTAAAATAAGAATAATAATCCAGGGAGAGCCAGTCTCTGGCCTCCTTAGTGTTTTCCTGCCCTGACTGGAAGGTCTCCTCCCTCTACCCTGGTATTGTGGGTCTGGTTTTCTTCAGAAACAAAGATGTCCCAACATTTCTGGCAAATCCCACCTTCCTGCCTTTGCCAACTTAGGCAGTAACAGCCTTTCCTTGGCTTTGAGGAGTTCCCTTTATTTTTAAAAAAGCCAAACAATTCCAATCACTCCTGTTGAGCAGAAGCAGGTGGTGATAGAAGGCAGCAGGGGTGAAATCCTGCTGGTGCCCCAGCTCTGGGGGACTCCAGCTTTTCCCTGTGCCCCATCCTGAGCTGGTTGCTGTTTCTCTGGCTGGGCCAGGGTTACAGAATTCTTCCAAGGGCTCTGGAATTGGTGAACCAGAGGTGTAACTGAGACTGGGGTTGACTCCACTTGCATTAAAGAGGGAGCTGAGCCAGTCTGATGTGAGGAGCCTCTGCCATGTCATATCTGGGCCCTGTGGAGCAATTGGGAACAAGCAAGGGCTTTTACAAGAATCCCAGCAGGATGAAGGGTTTGGAGGAGCTTTTCCAGCAGCTTGCTGTGTCTGCCCACAAATGCATTTTCCATCTCTATTTCCTGCAGCTGACTCTAGGCAGAAGGGGATGGTGTCTTTTATGACAGTGGGGTGGGAAAGGAGATGTATTACAATTTACAATCTCACAGGATGATTCTTTTCTGTTTTATTTTTGGAGTATGAGGGTAATCAAGGGAAGTGGGATGCAGTGGGGAACCAGTGGAATCCATCAGGCAGCTATGCTGGAGGATGCTTTTCTCTTTTCCCTTCCTTTCTTTTACCTCTTCCTACAGAACTGTGTGAAGGATAATTTTAATGTGTGGGAGACGATGAGGGAGAGAGCAGTGGGAATATTCTAAGACCTTTTACACGTTTCTTTCACAGTCTGACTGCCCCTACTCAGAAAAAGTCCCAAGTATTAAAATACCAATGGACATCATGGAGCAGGAACCTTTCCTAAGTGATAGCAAACCTGCTGACAGTGAGTAGAACTAAGCTCTTGCATGCCTGCTTGACTCTCACTTGCACTACAAAACTATATCTGTGTCTATTTAGTGATTTTAAAATAATTTTTAATCTTTCCTTTTACTTCAGAAGTATTCTCTTGTTCCTTTTTTTTTCCCTCTCATTTTTAATTTCCAGGCCCCTGCTTTATGACAGATTTTGCTTTTGTGAGCTTTTATTTTCTTTGCTGGTTACCAAATCAATGTTATTCCTTCTGGTGCCTCCAGTTTAAGTGCTTTTCTCCAGCTCCTGACAGGTCTCCTGGCCACCCACTCTCTCTTCCTCTCCTCTCCCTCTCCCCCTTGGTGTTAACCTGCTGATGGTGGGATTTTATTTTTTTTATCACTGAGCTTTGTGTTCTGGATTTGCAGCGCTGTCCTGTCACTGTTTGTTCCCCTAAGTGCCAAGCAGTTGCAAAAATCAGCATTTAACAGAGTAATTATTTATTTGTGTCATTAAGCTGCACAGGCAGAGATCAGTTGGCCATTAACATATTTCCCTTCTTAGGTGGTTTGTGCTCTTCTTTTAGGATTTCATTTCTGATGTTAATAGCTGTAATTGTTGAATTTAATCTTTATTTTCAGTCATTCCCACTTCACATTTTCCTCTTTTAAGTGAGGAATCACAGCTGACCTTGGTGGTTTTGCCTTTGGGATGACTTTGTAACATACTAAGGGTGTCAAATGCCCTTTTCCTCTGAGGTGGGAGGGGAGAAGTACAAACTAAATAAATTAGTGCTACTGCCTGGCTAGTGCTTCCTAGGAGCAGGATCTAACCCCTCTGATCTTTAAATCCTTAAATTATCCATGGATCTTTGGAACTGGGAGCCAGGTTCCTTTCCTTTTGGTAGCATATAGAGCCCTCAGGGAATGGTAAGCCTTACCCTGTAGCTTTTAGATACAGAGACACTCAGAGTTTGGGATAAAAATAAAAGCATTGGAAAGGAAGCATTTTCTTGGCTATTTGGATATCCTCAATGTTTTGCTGATGTCAGCACATCATCCAAAATCAGCCACAGGCAACCTCATATCCTCATTCCATGTATTTAGTGCATTCCTGATACTAAAAACAAACTGCATCCTAAATATTGTTATTCAGGATTTCAGGATCAGATGCCTTTTTTCCAACATCTTAAGGGCTAAAATAGTTAGGAAAAGTTAGTTGTGGCATCAGCCTAGTTCTTGGGATGCCCTTGGAGATGGAACAGATAAAATCAGCCATGGGCTGAACTGTAGTTGGTTGGTGTATTTATACATTTTTATAATCCAGTATTTTATTTGCTGCTTTCAAATTAAAAGCAATGTAAAAATTAAAACATATCAGGCCACTGGAATACCAAAAAAAACCCAACTGGAATGCAGCACCACTGTGGGATTGTGCTTGAGTGTAACTGTGATCCAGGGCATGTTCCTGGCAGTACTACTGACAGCAGCTTTCCTACAGCAAGAGCAGGAGCAGGACTGTCATTCCCAGAGAACATGGCTCCACAGGGTCAGCAGAGGGAAGCCACCGTGTGTCCCCCAAGGACGTGGGTGTGACAGAGGGGGGTAGCCCAGGGGGACAGGTCCCAGGTAAGTGTCAGGCCCCAAACAGGGGGAACTCCAGGGGACGGGGCTGCTGGCACCGCAGGGGTGTTACCTCAGAGGAGAGAAGGGAATGCAGAACTTCCTCACCAAGCTGTAAATCCATCTGGCAGCTAGCAAGAAAAGAGCTTGGCCCATAGATTTGGGGGAGCTGAGGCAGGGCTGGAGGCACTGCACAGTGGGTGTGTAGCAGTGACAGCCAGGCTTTCTTCCCCCAGCAGAAAAATCACCAACATTCCTTGAACGCCACACATCGTGCTGATACAATTCCCTTCCTTCAATCACATGCCATGCCAAGGTAAGCACCCCAAAATGCACCTCTGCCCCCCTCAGAACACAGCAAATTTCCTCCAGGGGACTCTTAAACATTTGGAGAACATTCCCTGCACTGGGTTGCTGCCTCCCAAGGTGATCATGAACAAGTTGATTCCACAGTTACTCCAGCTCCTGGCAGGGCTGGGGATGGGGAGTGGAGAACCTGGGAGAGACCTGGCAGCTTCCCTGGCCTCCTGGCTGCTGCACTGAGAACAGGTTTGGGAATCAGACCAGGAGAAAGATGTGGAGCTACTGGGGTAGCCCAGAGAGTTGTTGCCAAGGGGAAATAATCAATTTTTCCATATTGTGGTGGAAAACAGAGTAAAGAATAACCTTAAACTGCAGCAAGTAATAATTGCTCAGAGTCCAGTCCCTTGGGGCCAGCTTGGGCCTCCCAGCAGCAGGACTGTGATGTGGAGCAAGGCAAGTTTATTCCTCTGAAATGCCAAAGATGTGTCTGTGCTTACAGCTGTTAGACAGGCACTGATATTCATCCCAGCAGCCATGCCTGGATTATTTCAGTGGCAGCTGAGGGATGTTGTCACAACTTGGGGTGGAGCATCAAGATGCCCCATCCCTGGAAGTGTCCAAGCAGTGTTCAGAGCAGCTCATTCAGGTTATCTGTGTGTGGGCCTTACCTGAAATCTGGCTGTGCACTCCCAAAGCCCAGCATTTGTGCTGCTCTGACTTTGTCTGTCTTCTTCTTTGCAGCCCTCCACGAACTCCAGTAAAAGTTGTGCCTCAAATTAGAATAGAACTTGATCCTGAAGACAATGGTTATTTCTGGAGGAGCAAGGGAACAGAAACTACTTTGTAATTTGTCTGTCTGTCCGATCTTTTACCAGTTCATTTTGTCACTAGCCAAATGTTGAGAAGCTCCCTGCTCCCAGCGGCGAAGGTAACGGGGCCCGCCCTGCCCCTCCCTGCCCACGCCCTCGGTGTTTCCCGGACTCCTCCTGCCTGGCTGCGGGGGCAGCAGCGCTCCGGGCCCGCCTGAGCCCCGCGGGAACGCCGGGAGCCGCTGTCTGTCTGTCTGCAGAGCCCAGCTGACCTCCAGGCTCATTCCGTGTCTGCTCCCACTGCTGGAACGTGCTGCTAACCCTCGTGTAGGTAAAAGAGAAGGTACTTCACTCCCAGCACAGACAGACCATTGCCATCGCTGTAGCATGTTTGGAAACGTCCCTTTCCTATGCAATTTTTTTTAAAGAAACACTTTAATGGACTTAATCCATCAGGTACATGGAAGAGTGTTATTTTCCTAGATTATTTTGTTTAAATTATGGGGGCCTAACCTACGACTTTTTTTTTTTTTTTGACAATTTTTTTAACCTTTTTTTAATTACTGTAAAGAAAAATGAATTTTTTTCCTGCAGCAGGAAACATATAGTTATGAGTAGTTCTACCTCTTATTTCTAGATGCAAGGCTTTCTGTAAAAAATGTATTGTACCATATATAATGTGATTTTTACAAGAAACAAACCCATGACATCACACTGCAATCTCCAGGATGTGGCACAGGGCTGGATCAGTTCAATTAACACCTTGTGCTCCGAAGCATCTGTTTTTCTTAGGGTTAAGTTGGTTCTTGGAGTTTTTTGTAATGAGCGATCCCTGCTGTGAAAGAGATTTAAATCTCTTGTGATCTTAGAAGAGCCTGAATGGACAGCTGCTGGTTCTATCCCTGTTGTTGATTTCTGACCTGGGATGGCTCTGTGGTTTTCTTGGAACACCAGTATGTCTGTATGTGCAGTGAGAAGAGCCAAGGTGTGCCTCAGGCACAGTGCACGAGGAGGAAGATGAAGGTGGCCTGCTGGGATGTTCATCCTGACACTCAGATTCACAAAGATCCTCCTGTATCCCAGCCCTGTGTTCCACCATCTGCAGAACTGACCCTGCACCTTGGCTGCTCTGCCCCACACCAGCAATGCAGCAGGACTCAGCAGGCCAGGCATGGGCATCCCAGGATTTTGGGGTGCAACCAAGCAAGTGGACATCACATCAGGAGAGAGGTTTTCCTCTCTGCAGCATGTTCATACTGGTATGTGCATCTAAAGGCATCTTTGGGAAACTGGGCTTCACCAGGACATGGGGAATACGCAAAAAGCTTTGTCCAAAAATAAAAAACAGAACAAGAAGCAAAAGTACCCCAGCTCTCGAGGTGAATTTCCTGATGGAGACAATTCCATCACAGAGGATGGGCACGTGCTGCCACTTGGTCCTTGTGAAACCAAAGTCTGGGTTGGTGAAGTCAAGAGGAATTTCTGATGGTGCTGAGACCTTAAATGCCAAATTTTAGCATCTGCTCCCACACAGGAGCCACCACCTCTGTATAGCCCCTGCTCGCCCTTGAGGGGCCTCCCCTTCAGCTTCCATGAAATCTGTATTGGGTATCTTAGGAACTCAGCTGAAACCTGCTCTGAAAATGCCGGGGAAACTTGGGAAAGGCCTGAAGAGGAGCAGCTGTGGGATCCCTCCTGCTGCTGGAGGACAGGTAACTTGGGAAGTGTGATGCCAGCTTAGCCAATGCTCTCCATCCCTTGGTGGACACCAGTGCTGGCACCCGGTGGGGACACAGGCTGGAGCACAGGAGCTGCGTGGGGATTGCTGCACATCCTGCCCAGACCGTGCATGTGCAGCAATCCCCCAGGAGAGGTGCCATCAGCTGGGTCGCAGGGGCTGTCCCGCTCCGTTCCATGGGCACAGCTTCCAGCTGCTGCTGCCTGGTGACCTGTCTCCCCAAAAATGAGGTCTTCTCTTCTGAACCGTGTTCAATACACTTGAAGTGTCCTGACTGCTGTTCTAGATCTTTCTCTCTCTCTGTGTTGTGTTTTTTTGTGTTGCGCTGAGGGCAGCGCTGCCGACAGGACAAAGGCTCTGCATGAGAAGCGCCGCCCTCTGGCAGCAAAGGTTCTCTGCAGGCCTTGGAGAGTAACCAGAACGTGCTTTCGATCCAAATTAGGTGTTTTGTCGGAAAAGCCTGGGTGGGCGCTTCAGGGAATAAGTGTGGAGACTGACCCAAAGCCCTCCAAGATCAGAGGCAGCCGTCAAAAATGACCTTCCCCCAGCAAATGCCAGCTCCCGGCCCGCGGGGAGCCGGCCTGCGCTGCCCCCTCCCTGGGGCTGCCGCACCTTTGTATCTCTGCTGGAATCGAGTCGCACTTTGAGATACTTTTATTCTTGTTCTTAATTCTCCTAAGTCCGTGCTTTCTTTGGAGGAGGGAACAAGGACTTAGGATGAAATGAAGTGGATCAGATGGTGGAACTAAAAGGAAAAAAAAGCAGAAAACATTTCAAACATATTAAAGTGATTTTTTTTTCCAGTAATATGAAAAATGAAATTCCTAATAACATTATAGTATTTTACAGTTTTATGAAGCTTTCTATTGTGACTTTTATGGAATCAAAAGATGAAGATGATGAGATATTTTAGCATTTATATTTTTCAAAATTAAATAAATGTATACTGAAAATAAAGTAACTTTATGCATTCACGGGAGAGTTCATGTCTGTTTTCCCTCATTATGTGCCAAGTCTTGTCTGATGGAACCGAGATCCCAGAATCAGTTTGGTGATAAAAGGGGCTCCCTGACACCCTAGTGTTGGACCCACTGAAGCATATTTTGGGATACCTGGGGGAGCGGTTGGATGTGGAGAGTTGCCAGAAGGTCTGGGTCTGCTGGGCCCCCACTGGGCACTGCCCTCCGGGCCCCTGGATCCCTGCTTGCCCCCGGGGCTCCCCCAGCTCTGAGCTCAGATGGGGCCGGTGCACAGGGCAGCACTTGGAGGTGAAGGCACCTCGTGGAAGGGCTGGGCTGTGGCTGTGGGGAAATTTGGGATTCCCTGGGATTGCACCCCAGAGGGAACTGAGGACCATCTCCTCAATCACCAAACCAAGGGGAGAAGGAAGGGTCAGGAACTGACCAGGATCAATCTCAGGGGTCTTTTCCAATCCAAATGGTTTTATTTTGGGATTGTAACCTGCACAAAGGAAGTACCACTCACCTGGTGGCAGGGAGAGCCACCTCCTTGCCACTCAGCTCCTTGTTGGTCAGCTCTGGTGCCTCTGGAAGCTTTGGAGCAAGTACTGGGCAGAGTGGGCAGCTCCCTGGGTACCGGGTACGTAGATGAGCCCAGCGGTAGGACAGGTCTCACCTATTTGAAGAAGCAGACAATGGGCATGGGCAAAATGCAGCAGCTGGACACCGAGGAGAGGAAGGTCCCGGTCGCTCACGGCGATCCAGCCCCGCTGGTTCCACAGGGCCGCGCGCGACGGGCGAGAGCCTCACGGGGCTGCGGCCGGGGGAAGGGAGGGAGAGCCGGGCGACGCTCTGCCCCGGCGGCGCGGTGCTCTGGCGGGGGGCCGGGCGGAGCGGGAAGCCCCGGGGTTGCCCTATCGGGGGTTTACCGAGGGGACCGCACCGTGCACGGGATGCTGCGGCGGGGCCGCAACGGCGGCCGAGGGTGCGGGGGCAGAGCACTGCTGGGGTCTGCCGGGGGATCCCGGGCGATGCCACCTCTCCCCCGTAGCCGGATCCAAGCGGCACCGGGCCGGGGATCGGTTTCGGGCCCGGGATGGCCGCGGGCACGGGGCGCTGCCGGGTGCGGGATCGCGGCCGTTCCCCGGCGCGGGCGCGGAGCCGCCGTGTGGGGCCGGGACCCCGCAGGGCGCCCTCTGGCGGACACGGAGCGCGGTGCGAGCGCGGCGCCCCCGCGTGGCCGCGGGACAGCGGTGCGGGGGGCGGGACCGGCACAGGTGTGAGGGGCGGGGCCTGCCCGAAGAGGGCGTGGCCATGGGCGGGCCCGGATGGTGCAGGGGGCGGGGCCTGACAATACCGGGGCGGGCCCAGCTCAGGTGCGCAGGGCGGGCCCAACTCAGGTGCGCGGGGCCCCAGGGCGGCTGCGCGGGGAGGGGCGGGGCCGAGGTGATTTAGACCCCGGCAATCGGCTCTGCCGCCATTTGCTCAGTCAGAGCACGGTGCGGGCGGGAGCTCCCTGTGCGGGCTCCGCAGGTAAGGCGCGGAGGCTTCGGCCTCCCCTTCTGTCCCTCTCTCTACCCCTGCTCCCTTCTCCGCGTATTCCCTTTCTTTCTTTCTCCCCCTCCCCTCTCCCCCTGAAACGCTCCTTTCCTCTCCTCCCAAACCCGACCCCCCCCTACTTGATCCCGTCCCGTCCCTTCCCCGCTACTCGCTTCTATTCCTCCTCTCTCCACCGTCCCTCTTCTGCCCCTCGGCCTTTCCCCTCCTCTCCCGCTTCCCTCCTCACTCCGACCCCTCTCCCTCCCCGTCCTCACCACCCCCATCTCTCCTGTCTCCCCGTCCTCCCCTCTCCTCCTTCCCTCGCAGCCGCGGGGCTCGGGGTGCCGGGCAATAATAAAGCCTTGAGGGCCGGAGCCCGGCGCCCCCGCCCTCGCTGGGGTCCCCACATGGGGCCGGAGCCGCTCTGCGGGTCCCCCCATTGCAGTGCAACACAGCGCCCCACAGCGCCGGGGCTCCGGCTGTCCCAACACCACACTGGGGGGGTCCTGGGGTGGGGGGTAGCTCCCCCTCTAGGCTCCGCCCCCTCACCCGGCTCCCTCCCGGGGACCCCCTCCTCCGGACCGGGGCCCGGGGGGAGGGAGGGGGGCGGGTGGGGTGGGGGGGAAGTGGAGGGGGGCCAGCGTGAACACACTTTAAAAAAAATTGCCAGACACACGAGCGTCCCCTCGGGTCTTGGCACCTCCCCCTCCCACCCCCCCCTCCCTCCCCCCGGTCCCTCACATCCGCGCCTGTCCCGCTTTCTGCGGGGGATGCGCAGCTCGGGATGCGGCGGGAGCGTCGGTCGGAGCGCTGTGCGGAGATCCGGATCGGGGGCTGCTGCTGCTGCTGCGCGGGGTCCAAAGCGCTCAGGTGGCACCCGGGGATTTGGGTCCTGATCCTGCCGGTATTTCCTGTGGGAGCTGGGCCGAGCCACTTCTTCCTCGGCGGGCAGGGTGCGGGTGCTGGGGCTGGAGGATCAAGGTGGGATTGGGGCTGGGATCGGGACCGGCATCGCCGCGTTCGGAAAGAATCACTCCGGGACAGGCGCTGCCGCTCCGGCTGCAGCCGGCGCAGAGCTGGGTCCCGCCGGGGCTCCGGCTCCGGCTGCGGCAACAGGGAGCCCGTGCTGTGCTACTGCCATGCCCGCCAGGAGGACGACGCTTCCTGGGAGCAGCCTCTGGATCGCGGCTGGAAACGGGAAGGACACGGACACCGCCCGTACCGGCCCCGGGACCCCATCGGTATCGCCGCCCGCCCCGCGGGGCGCCCCCTGGCGGACGCGGCGCCGCCCCGCAGCGCCCCCGGCCCGGTAACCCCGGGGGGACACCGAGCCCCCCCGGCCCGGTAACCCCACGAGCACCGCGCTCCCCTACGAGCCCCAGCGCCCGCAGCCCCTTCTCCGTGTCCGCACCCCCGGGGCTGCAGCGCCCCGGCCGGAGCAACCGCTCTGGGACGGCCGCTGGGGCCGAGGCGTTGCTGCTCCCGCTCCCATTGTGCCTGGTGTGGGACTGGAGCCCCAGGGAAACACGAGGGAAAAAACCCCAGTGTTAAAAAACCAGTGACAACTGTTTGTTCTTTATTTCCAGAGCCGGGAGGATCATCGAGCCAAATGCTGAGAAGTGACCGGCCCAGCTGCACAACGAACACAGAATTTTGGTCTTCTCAGCACCCTGATCCAAACACCTGAGCCAATCCCAGGGTTGTTCCAAAGGTCCTGCATGGGATGGGGATGACTGCTGCCAGTAAGAGACCTCCTCTACAAATGCAGCTCCTTCCCTTCTGCTAATGCTGCTTTACACACCAGCCCCTGCAATGGCTGTAGGGCAGAACTGGCTGGCACTCAACATGTCAGCACCAAACTCTTCCCCATAACCCCGATTCTTCTGCCCTTTCCAGGATTTACCCAGCAGCTGTAAATGTGCTCACGCAATGTCCCTTTGTTTCCCCAGGAAGAAGCGAACAAGACAAGTCCTGAGGGTTACCCTGCTCCGTGGGGAAGTTCCTCTGGAGAGTGGCAGGGGCCGTTTCCTGCAGGTGAGCGCTGCCAGGCCAAAGCGACGGTGGCTGCTGAGGCCGGGGCTGTTTCTGGGCCCAGAGGCCTCGGTGTCTCCTGCTCGCTGCCAGCCGTGCTCCCTCGTGTTCCCTCGGGGTGTCCCAGCTGGCCGGGAGCGCAGGGCAGGAGGAGCAGAAGCTCCTGAAGGCAGCAGCCCCTCGTGTCTGTGGGAGCTGCAGGAGGAGCTGTGCCTGCACCGTGGCTCCTGGGCCAGGGGCTGCTCTGAGCAGGCCCGTGGAAATGCTCCAGCCCACACAGAGCACCAAGAGCCCAGGAGGAGCCCAAGGAGCAGCTGGCATTACCTGGGAATGGAGGCACAGGCTGTTTGCACAGGGGCTCACGCAGCAATTCCCGGTTCAGAGCTCCCACACAGCTGCCAGCCATGTCCCAGCCACCCCAAATCCCTTCCCTCCTGCCCAGCCTGAGGCCACCATCCATCAGCAGCATTGAAGCCAAGGCAATCTTCCCCCACAGGTATTAAATCCCAGGCAGTAGCCCTCAGAGATACCTGAAAATCAGTGGGATGGAGTTTGGAGTTTTTCAGGGATCCAGCTGCAAGTGCACAAGTGGTGGAAAGCTTTCACAGGTAGGTCCCACTGGAGATGTGCTGAAGACAGGGATGTGCATCCCTTTCCTGAGAGAAAGGAATTTGGAGAGGCCACTGCTGAGGCTCTGAAAGGAGCTGAGCTCCTGCAGGGAGAGATGTCCCCCCCTGGGCACAGGGGCTGCCCCAGCACAGGCTGGGAGCACATCTGGCCACTGCCTTCTCCTGCTTTAGACACCAACTGGATGTTCTCCATCCTGGAGCTCAGGGGGGTGAAATCAGCTCAGTTCCAGGCAGCTCTGTCCAGTGACCCCAGGGACACCATTGGGGTGAGGGTTATAAATGCCAGTTCTATGGAATGTAACCCTGTCCTTGTCCCTGTGCTGCTGAGCTTCCTTGGAAGCTCTGCTGGCTCCTGGCACAGCTGCTGTCCAAGGCAGCAGCTCTGCATGGGAATGCCCACACTCCATGGGGCACTGGGAGGTTACTGCAGTGGGAATGGAGCAGGGAATTTGGGGCTCTGGGTGTAATTCATCACAACTAGCACAGCTGACAGGGAACCCCAAATCTGGGCCCCACACAGAGAACAATCTTAGTCCTGCCCTGTCAGCTCAAACCCCTGGGCTGGGAAGTTTTGGGAATTAAATGTATGGAATTATACAAATCACAGCAAGTGGCATCACCCAGAGGGACAATCCAGGTCCCAGACAATTCCTCCACCATCCACTATGGGGGAAAACACCCTGTGCCTGCCAGGAGCTCTGACTCTGCTTTTCCTACCAGCTCCTGAGCAGTGTCAGGGCCACCATGAGAGCTTGAAAATCCAAACAGACCCCATATCCCACACAGTGATATAAATAAATAAATAATCCAAATAAAGAAATGCATTCTTGTCATCAAAGCTCAAAACTGTGTCAGGAGTTCTGACAACAAGTTAATGGGATTCCCAGCAATCTCATCAATGCTCTTGGTTTCATTTTATGTATTTTTAATCCCTCAGTGGGCAGCCTGTACAACTTATCCTGGGATTTAGAGGTTGAGCAGGGCTGGCTTTGGCTTGACCTTCACCTCTGGCCCCAGCCTGTGCAAACACACCCTGTGCCAGGGTGGGTGAGCTCCTCACCTCAGCTTTTCCCTCCTAAACATCCCCTACTTATTTCCCTGTAGATTAACTCACACTTTGCCCCAAACCATCCACTCCTCACCTCCATGTGGCCTCCAAGTGTCCATTCTGCTCCTCACAGGTGCCCTGGTGACACCACGTTGGTCCCTCTGCCCTTCTCCAGCCCGAGGCTGCTCCTCTGCTCGCTCTCTCCAGCCTCATCCCACAGGGATCCTCTTGTCCCTTCCCTGCTGGCTGCTGCCAAGGAAGGAGCACACAGTGAGTCCCAGGGCTGCCCCCTCAGCCCGGGAGAGTCCTGGCTGTGGGCCCTCGGATTTCCCAGGGGAATTGTCTGCTGGGCTCCCTTCAATGACCTCAGCAATTCCCTCACAAATGCCACCTCACTGCCCCTGACATCCCCTCACATTGCATTTTCCTACACAAACAGTTCTTGTATCCCCTCTAGACTACACCAGGTTTTCAGCTACATGAATGGCATCATCTGTGCCCACTGCTCGTTATTCACCCAACCAAAATCAAGAGCAAATGTTGGTTGGGCTTTAAGAACTTGAAATAAATTTAAATCAAAATAAATCACCTTTTTCTTCTGGGTTTTTGGGTTTTTTCCCTTTGGATGCTGGACTTCCCTCTGAGGATGTGTGCTGAGCTCTGGGTGGAGGGGCCTGTCAGGCTGAATGGCTGAGTTTGTGTTCTTTCACTGGGCATCAGAAATTGCCCCAATCCCTTTCCCAGGCTGTTCCCAGGCTGTGCTCAGGCTGTGGCAGCACAGGCAGACGCAGCTCTCAGCACTCCCTGCTCCAAACACAACTCTGGCCTCCACTGCAATCTGTCTCTGCTGGGAGGTTTTCTCCTAGAGAAATCAAAGAATTGCTCATGGCAATTGGGAGAATGAATTTCCACAAGGGAAGTAAGGAATAAAATCCTGCTCTAGGAGCCCCTGGGATCTGCAGGGCTGCTCAGGGAAGGGGACATTCACTCCCTGCAGTGCCCCCAGCCCACCTGCAGCCCCAGCACAGGCTGCCAGCTGGGCTCTGCCAGCCCCTCTCTGTCACCCTCCCTGTGCTGCTCCCTCTCAGTGCCCTGGGCAATCCAGCCCTGAGCCTGAGCAGCCCAAAGCTCTGGCTGGCAGCCCAGGGACAAAGGGACACTGCCAGGGATGAGGCACATTCCCAGCAAACGCTCCCAACAGAGCACAGAGGCACCCCTGGAGCTCCTGGCTGGGGCTGGCAGGAGGGCACAGCCCCGGGGGGTGGCAGTGGCAGTGACAGCAGCAAAGTGCCACGGTCTGGTGGCACAGCAGAGACACCAAGGCAGCAGTGCCCACGGGAGGGGCACAATCAGTGCTGCTCCCTGTGCTGCCCCATCCCAGCAGGAAAGCTCCAGGGGGAATGGAAACTCCTCCCCTTCCCCCAGCCCCAGGTAAGCACTGCTCAGTTTCACACACCCAGCTCTCACCTCCAGCTGCTCTGGGGCTGCTGCCACATCCCTGCCAAGGTGCCAAAGCCACTTGGGACAGGGCTCCCTCTGTGTCCCAGGGGATGGCAGGGACCAGGGTGCTCCAGCAAGGACAGCCTGAAACCAGAGCAGATGTCTCAGGGTCAGCAACGGGCTGGGGACAGGAGCTCTAAACCCAGATTGCTGAAAACAGCCCCAAAATGTTCTATGATCACACCTTTAAAATGGCTCCAAAGGGCAGCAGCTCCACTGCCAGACCAGCACCTGCACCATTCCCTGTGCCAGCCCTGGCTCACTGAAAAACAAAACAAATCAGCCATCACCCAGGCCTTGTTTGCAGAATTCCTGCTCCAAACCCTCACCTTTCCTGCCCAGCACTGAGGGAAATCTGACACAGCATTATAAGTAACCTTTGCTGAGAGCAGCCATCACCCCAGTCCCCCAGCCTTGGCAAGATTTGCAGTGAATGGACCTAAGTTCTAATCCTGAACCTAAATTCCTGACAGTTTTTGTTAGAAAGATACTGGACAGTAAATCCTGCAACAGAATTGAAAAATTGCACAAGGAATAACAAGGCCCAGAGCAAACCCAACCACCCCCATCACTGCTGCACCCCAGTTTTGGGAGAAACGCTGATATCATTTCTAAATACTCCCCTTCCCTCCCACTCAGTCTCCAGCCCAAAGCCCACTTCTCACAGACACAAACTGAGCAAGGCTGAGGCATTGTTCCCAGCAGCAGATGCAATTGCTGAACTCCCTTTTCCCTGGACTGCTCTTCTAAGCACTTGCAGGAAACTCACCTGAGCCCAGAGACTGCTCTGCTTTCCCAGAGGGAAACAGAGCCCGATGGGCCCCAGCTCTGGCACCACATTGCCCTTGTCCCTGCTGACCTGGGAGGCCACAGGTGAGCCCAGTCCCTCAGAGCCCATCCCTGGCACCAGGAGAGCTGGAGCTGTTCCCAGATGCCAGTGCCCTGCAGGGCTGTGCTGACAGAGCACAGGCTGAGCACTGTGCCAGCCCCATCCCTCATTCTCCTCCCGCTGCTCCCAAACCCTCCCAGCCCTGCCCCTGCGTCCGTGCCAGGGCCAGGCCCTGCCCCAGCCCCAGCAGGGGCTGTCACCCAGCCCTGCCCCAGCCCCAGCCCTGGCAGAGCTGGGAATGCACCGAGAGCTCCTGACCCCAGAGCAGCCCTGGGGGCACAGGCAGTGCCCAAGCTGCCCCTCGGGGCACGGCCAACACCACAGCTCCCTCAGCCCCAGGAACTCTGGCATTTGTCCCTTCACCTCTGCCCTTGTCCAGCAGACACAGCTGGGGCTGGGCTGTCAGGAATGGCATTCCCATGGCAGTCGGTCCCAGCAGAGAGGAAAAGAGGAGCCCTGTGTCCCTCTGACTTACCCCACAGCGTGGGCAGGCCCAGAGCCCTCCAGCGCAGAGCCCGGTGCTGAGGCCTCTTGCCTTTGGCTGCCCAAACACCAAAGCTTTTGGCAAAGATGGGAGGAGTTTGGTGATTTTTCCTGCCCTGAAAGAGAGGAGAAAAAGAAAATTAAGTCCACTGTGGAAGTCAAAGGATCCCAGCTCTCATACTTCTGCCCTGATTGCTCCCTATGGGGTTTTATCCATGAGAGGTGACACCAATTCAAACATCAATGTGTCCTTTGCCAGCATTTTTATTCCTGACTATTTCAGACAATAACAGGATGCTCATTTTCCATATTGCATTCTCTGCCTAATTTGAACAGAACCATTTTTATCCCAGACCCCACGTGTCAGCCATTCCATCCTTTACCACTGGACTTGGCACAAAGGCAGGGACACCCAGGAAGCTGCATCACAAGAAATCCCAGAGAGAATCCCCTCCAAACCTCACAGACAAAGGTTTTTGCGTTTGGGACACAAGAAAGGCCTTTGGCCATTTGCATCCACGTGCAAAGCCCACACTGAGCACTTGGCTTTAAAGATGTTGCACTTGAAGTTACAGACATGGAACTGCTCTGGGATTTGGCATTTCTTGCACCCACACAAACACATTAAAGGAATGAAGTGCAGAGCCCTGAAGTTTGGTTATTCCAATGCTGTTTTGGTAGTGCCACTTGACACACCAAAATCCACAGCAACACTTCAAAAAATGAAAAGCAACTTTCACCCCCACATCCCCCTTCCTTTAGATTTTGCAGGTTTGGGGTCCTCTTAAGAACAGGTTAAAGGAAAGAAGAAGAAAAGCCCAGGACCTGCTACCAGCCAGTGCACCAAGCACCTGTTTCCCACAGATTCCCCTCACAGCTGATGGCTTTTCTAGGAAAGCTTCAGTTCCCCTATCACAATCACCTGGCAGCACTCAGTGCCAGCCCCAAAGGGCAGAGCCCATCTCTGAGCTGTGCCAGGGAGCTCAGTCCCTCTCTGTGGGACAGAACCTGCTCTGGGCCCCAGAGCTGACTCCAATCCCTGCTGGCTGAACTGTCCGGCTGTAGGATCCAGCTGGGGGCTGCAGGGCAGAGTGTGTGACCCTGTGTGACAGCCAGGCTCCAAAGGCAGCCCCTGGTGCCCCAGCACTGCTGCTGGCAGCGCTGGCAGCCCTGGCACGGATGGGATGGAGCCTCCCCACAGCTCTGTGCCCTGGCACCGAGGGTGGCACAGCACAGAGGCTGCTGGAAGTGAAACCAACGCTGCATTTCCACGGGCACTGATGGCACTGAGAGCCCAGCCCAGAGCTGCTCCTGCCCAGCACAGCAGCCCCAAGTGCTGCTGCGGGCCCGGGCTCTGAGGGAGCCCTGCAGCTGCGACAGCAACGCAGCAACAGCAATTCCCAGGCACAGAGAGATCCATCCCCAGCTGCTCCAACAACTGAACCTCTGTGGCTCAGCCCCAGGGCTGTCCCTGCTCCAGGCAGGAGGAGCCACACAGCCCCGAGCCCGGGGCACACCCTGCCCTGCCCCAGGAAACAAGGGGCTCACGAACCTTTGGGGACACTGCTGTCCCCAGAGGGGTTTGACAAAACATCCAGCAGTGTGGATCTGTAATAAAGACAGCTTGTACCTATCCTTGCAACAGACTCACCTATGTTATTTCCTCAAAGTCTCTGTTTTAATGTATTTTGCTATTCCAGGTGTTTAAACGAGATTGACCACGAGCTCTGCACCCTTGCCACGCTCCCAGCCCTAAGGAAGAGCTGGACATCCTCACACCCATCCAGTCTGAGGGAGCTGCTGCAGCATTAAAACATTTAAAAGCCACCCCTGCCCCGAGGGTGTCCAGCCCTGGGAGGTGCCCGGGTGCCAGCCCAGCACTGGATATGGGACACCAGGAGAGCAGCAGCAACAGCCACTGCAGCCTCGGCACTCTCAGCACTCCGGCTGCACCGTCCTCACTGCCCAGCCACTCCCAGCTCTGTTCCCAGGACTCCCAGCAGGAACCTGAGGGCCCTTTCCAGATGCAATCCCCCAAGAACCACTGCTCTCCTCTCTGCCCACCCTCCTGCCCCAGCTCTGACCCCTTTGATCGCCACCACCCACACAGGACACAGAGGAGGCTCTCGGTGCCAGCTGAGACCCAAATCGTTCCAGTGCCTCAGGAAATAAATACAAACAAACTCATCCCCTCTAGGGTAACAAAATGTCTCCGTGCCCAGCTCCTGTTTCCTAAGGCAAAACACACGGAGCGGGGGAAATGCCAAGTCCCAAACCCAACAAAACCTGGTTTGCCATCGGTTTCCATCAGGACTGCTCAGGGTTCCCAGTGCCCCTCAGCTGCAGCCACAGGAGCAGCTTCTCTCTGGGACCCAGGGGTGGGCACAGGGACACCCATCCCGCTGCTTCCCGGGACACAGAGCCCAGCCCAGCCCAGAATGAAACACAACAAATGCAGTTATTGTCTCTGCCATTCGTGTATTAGCTCTGGCACATGTTATTGACCACAGAACTCCTGAGAGAGCACAATCTGTAACTACTGCTCCTGATAAAGTATCATCTGTCAGTTCGTGTGTGCACTGCAGAGCTTTTGTAAATAGCAGTGTAAGAGATACTATTTTAGACTGTAGCATAATAGAGACTCTGAAATGTTAAAATGCTTTTACATGTAAGGAACTCAGAAAATGGTGTAAGATAATTAGGTGATTTCCCACATTTGGGGACAATCTTATCTGAAACACAAGATAACAGAAACAGAAACCAGAACACCGAAAAAAAAGGAAAAATATTATTGACCCTCGTTATCAAATAACGAGGGAGTGAAAATAAAACAGGATGGCACCACAGGAAGAAATAAAGTATATTGGTTTAATCCACAAGATGGCATGAAGGTTAAAACCAAGCAAAAGAACACCTAAACTCCAAGGACTGTTTGAACATGTATAAACTCTAATGAATATGCACACAGCACTGCAGTGGAACAGAATCTAGAGAACACGGTTTAAGGTGACCGGGTGCTCCTGGCAAACAGGAGCACCAGCGCTGCCTTTTATCCCTTAACAAACGTGTAAAAATTCTAAAGAGTGAACTTTGTTTCTCACACAATAAAGCGCTGCCCCCGCAGCCGGGACGAGCCCCAGCTTTATTCCACGGAACGCGATCCCAGAGAGCCGCAGGGCCCGGGACAGCCCCGTCCCACCCACAGCGGGTCCCCCGCAGCAGCAGCGCCCAAAGCAGCCCCGTCCCGCTGTGGGCGCCCCGGCCCCGGTGCCCCCGGCCCCGCTCCCTCCGCTCCGGCCGCTCACCTGAGGGCACCGCCCGCCGCCTCCCGGCGCCGCTGCCGAGCCAAGGCCATTGGCCCCGCTCCTGGCTCCGAGGCCGCGTTCTGCGCTGCAGGGCGCGCTCCGGGGGACGCGGGCCCGGGCAGGGACACGGTGACCCGGGCTGAGGCGGCTGTGCCAGCGCTCTGTCCCCTCACGGGGCTCAGGCCGGGGAGCGGGGCCCGGACACCGGCCGCCATTGCACCGCGGAGCAGAGTCAGGGACGGCCGAAGAGCCGAGTGCGGCCGAGCGGAGCCGACAACAGCCGAGTGTGGCCGAGAACAGCCGAGCGTACCCGAAGGGCCGACCCTGGCCGCGATTTGCCGAATCGATCCCAGTTTAGCTGAGGTGAACTGGACGGAACGGGACGGAACCGCGTTCAGCCGAACCGAACTAGATAAGCGGAACCGAACTAGATAAGCCGAACCACGAGATCAGCCGAACCAACCTGTACGTTACGGGGTCGGTCGAACCAAGCCGAGCCGAGTTCAGCCGAATGCTGCGATTGGCCCCGAGTTCAGCCGAACCGAGCCGAGCTCGGCCGAACCCGGCCTGCTGCTCTCGTGCCCATTAATTAGCGCGAGTGCAGCCCCAGCCTAATGAGCACTGAACGTGTCACAGACACACCAGCCACCCTCCTGACACTGATGCTCCCAGGGATTTTCCTTTTTCCAGGGTCCAGAACTCACCCAAAGGAGTGAGAAAATGCTGTCGGCATAAGGAGCTGCACAGTTCTTGGGAAGGTCCTCGCTGGACAAGTGACACAAAGGGCACAGGGAGCATTTAAAGCAAACCAAGTGACAAAAAGCCACCTTTAGGTCAGAGAGAGGCTGAATGCCCATAAGGAAATCCACTGAAACAATAAGCTAAGTGATGGAAATTCAGGGTTTGGCTGTGGCCACCACCTTCTGGTATGAAATGTTATCATATTATCCCAAATAGTGACAAAACAAAACAAATAAAGGCATTTTAAATCCTAAGCTTATGAAGTGTAAGTGGAAATGAGATCACATGCAGAAATTCAGGTAAGATATGGACTGTAATCACTGTTTCTGTGGTTAATGGTTCATGTTCGAGCCTGAGTGACCGCCCTCTCCTCTGTCACCTGTGTGTCCTTGCTGTGTTTCCTTGAGTGTCCCAGAATACCTTGGAAGAGATTCTTCCCCTGCTCCTGCCTGTATTTGTCAGAAATGGTTCATTTAGACAGTACAGCACTCACAAAGAACCAGCCCCGCAGGAGTCACAGCACCATTGCCCTCACCCTGAAATCCTGGCCAACAGCACCAGGACTGTGCCCTATCCCCAAACTTCTGTCTGCCCAAAGTTTTCAGTCCCAATTCAGCAAGACAAGAGAATTGAAAAGGGTTCAAGCCTTGAACATCAGATGGTGACAAAAACGGCCTATTTAATTCCTACCTCTTAACCATGAGTTATTGTTATTTCTGCCCTCTGTGCTCCCTTGTCCCTGCCCATTCTCCTGGGCAGGATTATAAACTGTACTTTGAAATAACACACTTGCTGCAACCTGAGAAGCTTCAAAATCACCACCTTGACCTTCACTTTCTGAATTCCCATCCCAGTGACAGGATTTTGGGCAGTGTAAAGTTTTACAATTTGATTTACTCCATACAATTTCGAGGCCACATGTTCTGCACATCCCTTTCCTCCCTCACAAGCATTTGTTACCTGCACGAGACAAAGGCAGTGAGGTAAGGCACAGACACCAGGTAAGGACAACCAGGTAGTGCAGGAGGACAAAGAGCTGTGCACAGCTTTATTTTATTTACATCTCTGTAACTGGAGCTCTAAGATGGAGCACAGCTCAGGCAGGAAGGACCTGGCAGGGGCTGCAGTGCCCTGCGTGGGGCTGGGCTGGAGCCAAACTGCATCCCTGGGGGGGCCGTGGGCCCAGCCCTCCCTGGCTGTGACACGCGGCCTCTCACTGAGCACCTCCATTCCCCGTCAAACAGAACACTCAGGAAGGAACACAATCAGCAATTCCAACTGCATAAACCACTGAGGTGCCTTCCAGGAGCCCACAGTGTTCAGCCAGTTCTTACTTTGCAGTGCACGAGGTATTTCAGCAATAAATTCCCTGTCATTGCTAAAAGCTCAGCAGCTCCTCAGTGGGAGGGTTTCCAGTTATGTTTCTCTAACAGCAGCTCAAAGCTTAAGCAGTTTCAGCATCCACCAGCCTGAAGCCCGTGGATTTCAGGCATCTTGCATGCATGTTTTATAACTTAAATGGAAATCCTACCTGCAGTCTTAAATACATAAATATCTTCTGCCACTTGGCTCTACTGAAAAGCTTTCTGCTGATATAACACAACATTTCTTTAACAGAGGGATAACCATATTCCTAGTTTGCACATTTTCTATCAGCACATTGGTTATTGCAGCATTTTTCTACGCCAGCCTCTTGGTGCCAGGTCACACATCAGCAGGATTTAAGGCCTTGGACTTTTCAGGGGAGTTTTTGCCCAAGTTCCAAGTCAGAGCCAGCATCTGCAGTTTGGGCAATGTGCATCTCTGTGGGTGCTTGCAGCCCGCACCCCAGCGCTGCAGGGGTTAATGGTGAGGGGACACTTCTCCCACGGGGCACTGTCACTGCTCAGTCCCAGCCCAGAAGGCAGCAGGACTGTCCTTCAGCAGCCCAGGCGTTCCAGGGGCATTCCCAGTGCTCTCCAGGGCCGTCCCCTCACACCGTGGTCTCTGTTTTCTGAACGCTCCGACTGCGCAGGTGCTGCTGGATCAGCCTCTTCTCTCGTGTGTACCTGAGAGGGGGAAGGCATTGAAATAACCTCTGCAAACCTTCAGCCCAAATTCCAACCAGCTGCGCACATGTGGGTCCATTCCCAACCTTTGTGGCCCTGTCCCACTTCCCCAATGCAGGCAAGTCTGGTATTTTCTAAATGTTTCCTGACACTTGGATTCAAGGTGATTATCAGCCCATCGTGCAGTAACAGATCTGTGGCTGCTGCAGCCTCTTGGTGCTCCTGGACTCAGGAGAGGCTCACAAATATGGCAGCTCCTCTGGCTTGTACCTGTGGGACAATCCCCCTTTTTGCCAGGGGCATTTCCATCACTCACCTCAAGTTTTAAGGGGACATCAGGCACTGATGGGCTGAAATGCTACAGAACCAAAATGGTGCCACGTGTGGTGCTGCATTTACCCTTTCCAAGGGAACAGCAGCAAGTACCGACCGAGCCAGTCAAAGGCCCAGAAAGCAAACAGCAAACAAAATAAAGAGAAGTTACCCTGAGGGTCCAAATTTTCTGAAGACCCCACTCTGTGTGTAGTCAGTGTTAATTATGGAATCTTTAAGAGCAGCAGGATAGGGAAAGGATTACAAACCCTCCCAATCCCTCCAGCCTTCCCATCACAGTGTTCCACCTGTACTCTGCTACATTCATATCTTCTCTTCATGAGCCAATTGTACAGATTGCCCTGGACTGACTCTGTGACACCTCATTTTGTGCCTGTTTACCTTGCAGTTGTCTGTTGAATCTCCTGCTTCTCCTCTTCATTTATTCTGTGCAGAATGGATTCCAAGAAGGGAAGATGGAATGAAATGTACTGAGCCACCTACCAAGGAGAAGACAAGAAAGGCACTACTGACTGTGGTCACCGAGGAAAATTCCACGAGCTGTGAGAAGTGAGGATATACATACATCACTGCTGATCTCTTCCACGTCCCTATCCATGAGAAAGAACTTGGCAATCTTCTCAGAGGGCCCCTGCAGCAGCCTGTGCAGCAAGGGAACATCTCTACTCCTCAGCTGCTTCTTTTCTGGAATGTATAAGCAGTGTCACAAAACACAGAACCAACCACAGGGGCTCCATCTACCACCTGCAGTCACGAGCCTTTTTACCTGACGAGGATCCCATACTGACTCGAGTGCAATGACCAGATACCCAACAGGTCCCTGATGTTGTGCCATTTAAAATACCTTCTCCCCCAGTTCCCTCCTATTCTCTCAGATGTTCCCTTTAATAAAGATCAAATCTCCCTTTTTCTGGAAAAGTAAACTGCTATGGAAGTAACCTTTTTCCACTGACCAGTGAGTACTTTGAACTCAGCATATGCAATGCAAAGCTGTCAGCTGAAATACACACAATTATTCAGCTTTTCCTCTCCAGAGGAGACATCTCTGAAGGGTCCCTGAGAAGGCAAAATGCCACAGCACACACACAGTGCACAAACAAGGACAGAGGCCTGGCACAAGTCCTGTTACTCCAAGGGACACATTCCACACACAGAGACAATGATCAGAGCTGAAGTGCTCAGGCACAGTGGCTGGCTTACCTCCAGATGCATGGATAACGTAAAGTGCAAATTCATGGGGGTTGTTTTCTATCTGTGAAAAAAAAAAGAAATTCCATTCAGACTCACAGACCTTCCCAGCACTTCCCTCTCAGCACATTTTCCCTGTGTGTCTCAGCTCAGAGATTTGGATCAAAGCCTGAGACAGGGATCCTGTCTGTACAAGAGCTAAAGACAGTGGATCTGGATAAGGCAGAAAGCTGTGCTGCCACGTTCACTGTCCCTGGGCCAGCCCTAACCCTTGTGTTCCCATGTGCCCAAACCAGAAACACACTGCAAACCCAGATCTGTCCTGCCTGCTTTCCTTGCAGCATCCTTAACTGCTTCCTAGAGCTTATTCTCCCCTCACAGGTGGATCTGCTGTTTGTGCTGCCATCAAGGTAAACCTCTGTGACCTACCCTCGTGCCTGACAGCCACATCCTGAAAACAGCACAGCTTTTGAATGCTTACTTTGCAATGTATTCCCTACAACTCTACTCCCTGCTCTGTAATTCCCTTCCTTGCTACTCCTAGAAGTTGTTTTCCTTCCAAGACACTCACAAGTCTTACTAACCACACAAAGTAATGCTGCAATAGTGAAGTCTCCAGACAAGTTAAATGGTAAGCTTAAGACCATTAAAGTATAAATTAAACACTAAGCAGCCATGGAAAATCAAGATATTTGAGAAATATGCAGCAGTAAGGGCAAAGCTACTTCTGACCACATACGACATTGTTGGTGGGAGATGGTTCCAAGGAAATTTAAAAAAAAAAAAAAAGTAGTTTCAGACAGCATGGCACTGGCCTCGAGCAGTACTTGCAGCTGTAACCTTCCCATCTTTCCACACGCCCGGCTCCCAGGGAAAGCGCGTCCCAGAGCGGCGCTGGGATAATCGCTGCTGTTTCAGGCGAGCCGCAGTTCCCGGGCTGTCCGCGGGAGGGCAGCACCGCCAAGGTTAAAATTGTCCATCTGGGTTTTTTACACTCCGCTCCGTGCACTGTCCTCGCCCAGCTATTCCACATCTTTCCCGCAGTGCTGGAGGGAGTGCACATGGGAATGAGCGCTTCCAGAACACGGCCACGCTTCCTCCTGCCAGCAGACTTACCTTAAACTTCCGAAGCAACTGCTCTATCACTTGTCTGGTTCTCATCTGGCTGTTGATTCTTATTTTGGTTTCTGACCCAAAAGCCGGAGTGAAAACTGATGTCTGGGAACAAGAACAGCCACACCACGGCCTGAGCCTGAGGCACACCTCACTGGGCAGGGCTCCCTGTCCCTCAGGTGACAAAGCCAAGCCTAAAATTTCCTACCTCGTGGTTGTAGAAGTGGCCATTGATAGAGAACCTGTGAGTTTCTACTTCTGTCCTGGTGATGGTGGGGAGCTTGGTCCTCCTGCGCACGGCCGCGGCATCGCTGCTGCTGCGGGGCAGGGTGGCACAGTCGAGCTCCTGCTCCCTCCTGGACCTGAGAGCGTGACTTTCATAGCATGGATAACCTGGACAGAAGAGAACCACGAGTCCTGTGCAGCTGCCAGCACCCCCAGAGGAGGGAGGCTCTCAGGGAAGGGCTTCATTTACTGTTTACTATTTGTTATTTTTGGGGGGGTGGAGCAGGAAAGGAACAAGGCAGAGGCATAAGATGAAGAATAGGCTGCTTGCAGGGGTTGCAGTTTGCTGATTTGCTCCCTTGGGAATGATTTCTTGGATGAAAGCACAGCTCATTGCCACTGGCTGTTCACCAAGTCACCTGCACAGCCCTAAGCAGCCCTAGGTGGGTGTTTCCCCAGCTTACAGGGCATGTGGCACACAGCAAAGAGATTTCCCTTGGCTGGCAGGGAAGCTGCACACCCCTAAAGCTTTCCCACATGTTTTTTGTACTCCCATGTGCACTTCAAGCACTTTTCAAGAGAGTTTAAACAAGAATGAGCTGACTCAGTGACAGAACAGCACTAGCTCAGGGACCTCAGAACACGCACTAGACAACACTCACTATGGACAGCGCAGATTCTTGTGCTTCAGGGCTCCAGCTTGTCAGTACAGCTCCAGCACTGCAACTGAACCTACTGGAAAACACCTGGCAGCAGTTCACATTAGTCCAGGAGTGCCAGTGCATCACCTGTGTGTTATCTCAGTAAGTACAGCTGAATATTCACCCACTCTACTGGCAGGCACTTGGCTGAAATAAAGACATTTATAATGCATTATTTTCTGCTATTTTCTGAGAGATTTATGTTTTCCTGGCATTGTTTCAATATACTTGAACCCGGGTTCTGCTCTCTCTCCTAAAGAAGAGCTTGGATATCATCTGTGATGCAGCTCTAGTTTTTGAAGTTACAAACAAGTTTTGAAGTTTTGAAGCAAACAGACAGAAATCAATGTTTGGAGAAATTATCACAGAAATAATTGCATGCTTCCCAGTGCCTGCCCAGCACACCCCAGTTCTCTATTGGGAGCCTAAGTCCTGTTCTTATCATAGAAACTCCATTATTTCATATAGTTATGTTTTACAGAAAAGCTTTGCGGGGAAATTGCCTTTCCCAGCATCAACAGCCACCCTCAGCACACCAGCAGCCCCACAGGAAATGCCACCTAAAATATGCCACATCAAGCTTAAATGACACAAAATTATCAAAATGCATTAATTCAACATGAAAAAGATCAGTACCAACCGATTCAGAAAATGTTCCCCTCATAATCTGCATGGGGAGAGGCTCTAGGATGCCAAGGCAAACTCAGAGATTCTCACCCTTGCCATAACCTCCCTCTCACCTCGCCCTCTCCCGTTCCTGTCTCCTGTGGCCAAACTCGGGGATCATGTGAGGGGGGGAAAGACCCTGTGTCCCAAATCCCAGCAAAATTGCCTTTTTCTCTCTTTTATGTCAGAGCCAAGCACTGATTTGGTGTTTCCTCAACTGGATATGGAGTGAAAGAAAGTGTGTGCTTGTGGGAGAAATGTTCCTCCTAAAATGAGGGAGAAATGCTCCTCCATAAATCTGAGTTGTTCCCTAGGGCAAATGAACATTGTGAGGAGAAAATGAGTTAAAAAGCAGGGGACAGACAGGGAAAAATTTTTGGAGCAAATTTGAGGTAGGCTGTAGTGCACAAAATGAACATTTAGAGGTAAACGGAGGCACATCCAGGTAAAGGTTTGAGGATAAAATTTAGGTAATATGTAGAGAAGAGAATGATCATTTTGAGACAGTGAGCAGCAGGGAATGTCATAATGTGGAAGTCACTCCTATTTTTCTGAGGGAGGACTGCCCTAGGGAATGGCTTTCCCTGGGATTTGGCTCCTGTAGGGCCTTACAGAATAAGCCTTGGTGCTCTGTGATCCTGTGCTGCTCCTTGCACAAATTCCATTCCTCACTATTCTTCCAGTGTCACTCTTGTCCCTGCTGACGTTTGTCCTGAGCTCTCAAGTGTTTTCTCTCCTGCTCGTATTTAAATTTCAGTCTTTTTGGGTGACTTTTATTCCCCTGCAACATCAAATTGAGTTCCCCAAAAAACACACCACCGAACCAATTTTTTTATCCTTTATTTCTCAAATTTCCATTTCCACTTGTGTCTCTAGCTGCAATAATAATGGACGTGACAGAAATAACAGCAACCAAGGGGAATAAATGGAATGTGACGGAAAATGCTAAATTTTGTCATTTGAGCAGGACCAGCATTCACAATGTCCAGGAAGAAGCACAATCATGAGATAATTCAGGGGTGGCTGGGTGCCAGACTGGGTCTGCAGTATTTCAGTCCATGAGAGTTACAGGATGAGGGAATCCTCCCAGGAATGAAATATGACCAAAAACAGGGTTCGAGCAGCCCTGTTCCATGGGGAACAGAGAGATTTCCAGAAGCACAGCACCTTTCACTCCATCCCATTCTCTTCAAGCTCCTCCATGAGCAAAGCCTGCTGCTTATTGACCCAATTTCCTCCCTTGGTTGTGTGGGGAGGGGTATCCCGGGCCGGCGGACAGGGCAGCCTGGCCTGGGGCTGGCTGGGCTGAGGCAGGCCTGGAGCAGAGCTGGAGCCAGAGCGTGGCCTGGGAACCACGGCGGAAGCTCCGGTTGCAGAAGCCGTAGGTGATGGGGTTGACGCTGCTGTTGGAGAAGGCCAGCCAGTGAGCCAGGGGATAGATGTACACATTGATCAGCTGCAGCTGCACGTCCGACAGGCTGCCGTAGTCCGACAGCAGCATCAGGCTCCACAGGGGAAGCCAGGACAGGGCGAAGAGCAGGGTGACGAGGATGAGCATGTGGATGGCTTTCTGCTTCCTCCTCCACGCTCCGCGCCACTGCTCCTGGCCGCGCTTCCCCGGCCCGGGCACAGCGGTGTGGCACAGGGAAACGCCGATCCTGGCGTACGTGAGCGCGATGAGCGCCACCAGAGCCAGGTAGATGTTGGCAAAGAGCACCGTGGTGTAGGCCTTCCTCATGGCCGGCTCGGGCCACTCCTCCCGGCACCAGAACACCGGGCGGGTGGCGTTGCCCATGCCCAGGAGCAGCTGGAAGTGCTTCTCCTGCCGCAGCCACAGCAGCGCCGTCAAGGGACACATGATGGCCACGGCCAGCGCCCAAGATCACCATGATGGCGACCACAGCGGTGGGGACCGTCAGCTTCAGCTTGAAGGGGTGCACGATGCACCGGAACCTGTGGCACGGGCACCGGAGAAGCCGTGAGGAAGAACGCCTCCTATCCCGGGCAGGGATGCACACACATTTTAAACTGCTTGTCTTTCATCTTCCCTGGCAGTTGCTGCCTGTGCAATCCAGCTTCATGGCTGAGAAACAAACCAATTGCAGACAGGCTGGGATAGCCCAGTTCCACTCTCTTTAAGGGACACCGGTGGAGGAACAGATTGCTCTTTAGACCTGCCCAGATTTTATTTTGCTTAGGAGCAAAATGCATCGGATTTGTTGTGGTGTTGGGAGGGTTAGTGACTGGGCTCAGGGTGGTCAGGGGGCCAGGGGAGATGACACTGGTGGTTACAGACTCTGCAGCATCTTACCTGTCCATGGCAATAGCAACCAGAGTGAAGACGGAGGCAGAAACAGAGATGCCTTGGACCATCCTGCTCATCTTGCACACCAGGCTCCCAAAGGGCAACCCTGCAAGGAAACAGGCATTTTGGAATTGCTGACATCTCACTGCAGGACTCTGCTTAAAATCATTCGCTCTCATATTCCATTTCCTGAGTAGATCTGTAGACTCATGGGGTGGTTTGGATGGAAGGCAAGATCATGGAGTTCCAGCCATGGCCAGGAACACCGTGCCATGGGCAGGGACACCTTCCAGTGACCCAGAATGCCCACAGAGCTCCCTGGACACACGCCCCTGGCTCTCCCCACCCCACGGGCAGCCAGCCCACCTGCAATGATGCTGTCCAGGAGGGTGGTGGGCATGCAGAAGAGCCCCACCAGCAAGTCACTGATGGCCAGGTTCAGGATGAACAGGTTGGTGACCGTGCGCATGTGCCTGCTCCACAGCACGATGGAACAAACCCCCCCATTGCCCACCATGCACAGGAGGAAGATGAGCAGGTAGGAGGTGATGAAGACAGCAGCCACCCAAGGCTGGTGGAGGTAGAAGTCTACGAAGGAGACATTTCCTTCCAGGTAAAGGTACTTGTACTTGTCCTGTTGTAATTCAGCAAATCCAAGTGAGGCCAATCCAACGAGGAGTTTGAGTCCATTCTCCTCCTTGTGTTCTAATGTGCCCTAAAAGATATTTGTAAAGAGGCCATTTAGTCTGCTTGCAATTGATCTGAAGCAATGTGATAATATTATTATCAGTATTATTATCGCATTGTTTTCTGGTTTGGGTCCACTGTGTGCTGAAATAAGCGTGAAACTCACATGCACCCTGGCAGCAGTGTGGTGGCCGAACAATAATCACTAAAAAGTCACTAACTCCAGCACTGAAAAACAGGGATTAAATCTTTCTCAAGTGGCACAAGCCTTCTGCCTGCAAGTATTCAAATCCAGCCCCATTCCATGGACATGGTTTTGTGTGCAGCTGGGTGATTTAATTCCCTGCTCCCTGTTAGTCAAGCTACCTAACTCCAAGGCTGCAATCAAGAAGGACCACACTGTGTCTGAAACATGCTGAGCTACAAGAGAGCTGGGTTCATTTCCAAGCAGCTAACTTGACTTGGAGGCAGCATTCCAAACTCTTTTCCACATATATTTTGTCTCCCAGATGAGGATGCCTAAAGAAGCAGGGGGCAAAATTAATTGGTAGCAGCAGGAATGAAATTAAAGTGTGAGCACAGGTGCTTTCAAGATGCTCCAAATTTCTTAATAGAAATGGGATTTAAATTTAAGCACAAGTTATCTGAATCCTGGTGAGCTTGTATGAAAGCTCAGCAAAGCCTCTGCAAGTGCTTTACTCTCAAGAATTAAGTGCAGTAAAAAAAAAAGTATTTATTCTGCTGTGCCTCAGGTTTGGAACTAGCAGAGCAGTGAAAACCCATCATGTTCTGCTCTCTTATGCCTGTTCAGAAATCAGCAGCAGTGCAGTGTCTTGATGGGTCTGTATTTTACAGACTTATTAAATGCCTGCACAGCCAGGCAGGGAGACAAAAATCTGGAGTCCCTCACCAAAACCCAGCTGCTTGTTGGTTTGAACAAGTGTAGGGATAATTGTACATTCTGTGGGGCTGTCCTTACAGACCAAGGCTTATTTATCTTGATTAGTTTTTACTCAACATGCTTTCAAAATCATTGGAGGTGATCTTATTGAGATGTCTGATGTGCCAAATGCTTTACCCAGACAGAGCTCAGAGTCAGCCTTGTGTGAAGTGCTTTAATGCCCATTTTCCTGATCCCTCAAGGAAGTAGCACTGGTGCTCTTGCACCCCAACCTGGGTTCAAGGTGGGGAACTCTGACAGAATGCCAACACAGAAGTTTGACAACATAAGTTAACACTGCTCCTTTAATCCCAGACCTGGAGCTGGGCTTTATAAATCCCAGGAGATGCTCTCTCCATTAAAAAGCAGCATTCCTGTTGCTCCCTTTGCTGCTCTTCACCACATTACTATTATTATTACTATTACCCACTAATTTTCTGCCATAATTTTTTGCTTCCCAGAGGAGCTGCTTTAGAGAGACACTGCGGCCAGGGGAAGGTAGCTTTTGGCTCCCACCACATTCCCAGTCCCCATGCCCAGCTGTCCCTGGGCTGTCCTCAGAGGTGCCTTTCCACCCTTACCTGCGGGAGTTTGGCTTTTGCAGGGGTCTCTGATGATTCGAGGCAGAAGTTCTTGGTCATGCCATGACAGGGCTGTCCCTTATCACACTAAAAGCAGGAGGAATAATGGTTATTTTGGATACATATTTTGTGTTTTCTCTCTGCTTCTGAGACTGTGCTGTGAGGCAGTAGCTTCTAAACACTTCAGTAATGATCTCTGGAATAGTTTTTGTCCATAGCTAGTAAACAAGAAGTTGTAAACAGCCTCAAGGCAAAACTGGAGCTGAGTCTCATCCCAGTTGCACTAATGAAATTTTGGCTGTGCAGGCATAGGGAAGTGGCTGTGCAAACACTGCAGATGACAGGAAATGGAAAAGCTCCATGGATTTCTATTATCCTGAAGCTGAGGGGGAGAAGGATTGGCTGGAAGGAGAAATTAAGCCAGTGCCTTGTGTTTTCACAGGGGCCTTGCCTGCTAAAACAAGCAGTGATAGATAATTGAGAGAGGCACAGAAGACAGACATTTCATCTGAGAAAAAATTATGCAATACCTAATTGGCATAAGAGGATGAATAACAGTAATCTGTTTCCACATGGTAATTTGATAAGAGCAAGGCCTCCCTCCTTCATTTAATACACCAGAGAAAATCTGCAAAGGAATAAAGTGGGAGGGAGCCTCCCAGAGTGAAAACTGCCCCAACACACAGTGGGTTCCCAGGCACAGGAGGCTCATTCCCTGCTGGAATCTCAGACACTGCCTCCATGGACAGATACACAATGTAACATCTCACAGCCTGACCAGGACAATTGTGTACCTCTGGGTAGAGAAATTCAGTTTTCCCTCGTTAGAGCAGCAGTTCCAAGCCATTATGAAGTGATGCCATTATTTTCATGTTGGGCACGTGGAAGAAATCCCCTGGAGCAGCCACCACTGCCTCACCCCTGTGCACAACCTGCTGGGTTTGTCATCCTGATGTCTTCATTTTTATGTGTGAAATACCCTCACAGGATCCTCTGAGGCTGAAACAAAAATAAGGAGACTTCAGAGATGGGAGGAACAGCAGGAGCATGTAGCTGTACATGAAGAACATTCAGTGTGGTAAGTGCTAAAAAATTTGTTCTTCCCTTGTCCTGAACTTAGTAATGGCACAAGAACAGACACTTCCCAGGGCTCCCAGTTCCCAAGGTTTCCCACTTTGGAACATGATCCCTGGTCTGCTGAAAAGTGAGAAATTCCCAGGGGCAAAACACAGCCCCTGAAGGATGGCAAAAAGAACAGGACATTGGTCTCTGAGTGTCTGAGAAATAAGGGAGAGAGAAATTCATGGATCATCCTCTGCCATAGGGAACCAGGAAGGAGCCACTGACTAAAAACCTGAAACGCTGTTCCACAGGGACCCCGTGCACAGCCCATGGGATTCTGGGCTCCTCTTGGCTTCTCTTCCAGAGCAAGGGGGAGCTGCAGCCACCCCAAACCCCCCATTCCCAGTTCCACAGGGAGTGGTGCAGGAGGTGTTTGGTCTGGGCCATGCAGGGCTTGAGCTGGGGACTCTGGGGATATTTGTGAATTAAGGTAATAGAACTTACTCTTTAAGTATTTAACTTTTTCATCCATCAATATTTCCATCCTATTTTATTTGACATACCTCAGAGTGGTTCATCTCCAAATAAGCCTGAATATCCTAGTAAGTTTTCAGCTAGGAGAAAGGAGCTGTGGAAGAAAATACGCCCTTAAAAATAGCCAGTTGCAATCAAATAATTCTTTCTTACTGACATTTACTTTCATAAAGAAAAACAAGTGCACCTTGAGAAGCAAATTTCTCATTTTGAAATGGGCAATCCCAGGCAGATGTGCCAATCTCAGAGCTGCACACACATCTCCTCTCAATTAACTTAAACTGCTTATCCTCCCCTCAGTCATTTATCTGCATAGGCTGAGCTGGGGCCAAAGAAAATAGTTTGTAGGTATTGCTTTTTGAAATAGGTGTTTCTTTTTAAAAGATCTCAAACTTCAAATGATGGAGAGCAAGGCTATCAGCAGGATGACTGGAATAAACAGCAGACTTAGCTGTGGATTACTCATCCACTCGAGCTGGGAATAGAAAACATTTCACTCCAAAGCCAAATTGTAACTGTAAATCAGAAGATGCAAATGGCAGGTGAGGCATTCACAGCAAGTTGGCAATGGCTCTGTATTTTTATACACATATATATTTATTTATATATCATTTCCACCCTGCTTCATTAGAACCAAGGCTGCTTACCTATTTCTTGTCATTATAATCCTTTTTTCCCCCTTTACTTCATGCTTAATCAACCTTTAAGCTTCTAAATATATTTTTTATTTGATGCATCACAGGCTGTTCTATATCTTAACTAAAATCTCAGCCAACTGCTCCCTGAAATCAGGTTAAAGTAAGATTTCCACACCCAGGCACACTTATGCCACCACTTTATTGAGAAGCCTTGCAAGCAATAGGATTTTAGCTGCCTTACCTTGGAAGCAAGTCCCTGTTTTAAAAGCTTTCAGTAGGAAATTACTCAGGTTCTCCTGGGATGCAGTAGCAGTTTCCCATCCATCACTGGAAACTGGGCAGGGACCCCACAGAATATCTGGACTGGCCACAGCTTTTTTCCCTGGAGAGATGCTCCAGCAGTTCAGCAGTGAGTGCTGGGGTTTGGTCTATAGGAAGAGCTAAATCAATGATCCCTGCTGGGCTCTTGGCAGCACTAAATTCCCACAAATAGGACATGAGCCTCCTAAATTGCACCTTTCAGCTCAGCCTGTGCTCACGAGTCACTCCCTGACAGCCCTGTCATTGGGCACTGAAACTGAGGGGAGTAATTGGGGAGCAGGTAGATAGAGGTAAACGACACCCCTGAAAAGTGGGACAACCATGAGAGAGTCTCAGTGGAGGACAGGATTGGCAAACAACAGAAGTGTTTTAGGGGCCCATCAGCCAGTGAAGGCTAATGCAGCAGGTACAGGAGACAGCTCTGCCAGCAGGCAGTTTGTGTCCCCCCCCAAAATGGGGGACACAGAGGATCCTGTAATCATTGCCAAGTGAAAGACCAGAAAATCCAAACCTATCCCAAGGCACAGAGCACACCACAGGGGTTCTTTGCACCAGCCAGAGCCACGGAATTTTTTGATTTCCATCTCTTTTGGCACAGAAGTGCCATTGCCCTCTGTGAGACAGGCATGAGAGCAGACAGCCCATGACCTGGTCACACAGTGAGGGCGCCATGACTTACAGCCTGTCACAATAAACACCCTCTCACCCCCCACCCAAGCTCCTGGGCTGCAGAACATTGGATTATGCCTCACTAGGAACTGGGCAGAGCAGCCTGCCTGGCCCAAGGGCAGGACAGGTGACTCCCTGTGCGGCACCCTGGGGCTGGATCCTGAACACTCCACCTCAGCCCATGCTGGATTTGCCCAGAGGCAATGCCTTTAGTCTTAAATAAGTGCACAGGAGAAGAGCTGGCTGTGAGGGTGACAGCAGAGGTTTAAATGCAGTGTCACCTCTGCAGAAAGATGATGGTTGTGGAAGGGCTGAACTCTCCCCGCACCTTCCTACCTTCTGACTGCTCCCTTTACATCACCATCCACATGCACACAGGCATTTTAGGTAATCATTGATTTTTTTTTCCTGTGACCTGCTCTGAGGATTTGAATCCTTTTAGTGCTCTTGAATTTCCATTTGCTGCTGCCTCAGTGACTCAATTTTAATTAACACCAAATTCTAAGCCTTACCTGGATAACACAGATAGGTACCTCTGATTGATGTCAGGAATTTGACATGCTGAGAGATTACCTGGGAAACCTCCTGGTTTGACTCCAGTTGAAGACAATTCTGCTCAATAAATGACAGCTGCAACCCACAGCAGTCCAAACAGCAAGGACTGCAAGGAAGTTTTCCTTGCTAGGATTTTCTTTTGGAAAAAAACCCAGCAGCACAGATCTGTTCTTTTGGGATGAGGTGCCATCTTACCTACCAGCCTCAGGAAATGCTCAGAGTTACACTTGTTTACACACCTTTCCCCAGCAAAACACCCCAAACTGATCTCACTGCATTTCAGACTTTGCAGCCCCTGGAAAGGTTCAGATTTAAATGATAACATGAGCTACTTCAAGCTCCAGACACTTTCCTCCTACTGGAGGTACCTGCTACTGATAGAAGAGCAAAATAAAATGATGTCTTGTCATAAAATGAGCAAAATAAAACTTGTCTTAATCACTGAGAAAAAAACAAAACAAAACAAACAGCCCCAGGATGTTCTTTCCCCAGTTCTGGAGTTCTGCAGAGCGCTCCAGCTCCCAGCCCAGGGCCTCCTGCAACACGGGGGCTGGAACCCCAAAGGCAGAGGCTCAGCGGCACCTGCTGCCATCTCCATCCCAAACCGCTCCTGATCCCAGCCCTGACCACCCCGGGCAGCCCAAGGGGGCTGTTCCCAGCCGGCAGGTCCCTGGCATCACCGGGATCCCGGGGCAGGCAGTGTTGTGCCCCCCTGCCAACCGGGGCACCTCCAGGAGTGGCAGCAGCATTCCAGCTCTCTCTCTCACACACAGACCTGTTGCTCGCCGAGCTCCCGCGGTTTTCCCCAGCTCCCAGCTGCAGCAGGGAGGCAGGAGCAGCCCTGCCCGGGGGAAGGCAGCCGCACCCCGATCCCCCGGGTACCCGCCCCGCTTTCCGCTCCGCCGCCGCCGCTGGCTCCGCAGGCAGCAGCGAGGCGAGGCTGCAGCCCCCGCTCCCGCAGCCCTGCGGCTCCTGCCTCAGGCAGGGAGGAGGGACAGGAGGAAGGAGGGAGCCGAGAGCCCAGCCTAAAGCCAGGCGCCAAGCCCCGGGGCTTTGGGGGTGCCCGGCTGGAAGAGTTTCTGGGCTATGTTCCATTGCAGAGCCTCCCTGCTCTGCTTGAGGCATCCCTCGGCCTTGGGAAGCTCATTCCAAGGGTCAGTAAGTCACAGCTACCTCTGCAGGTGCCACCCCTGCCGCCCCTCATCCATCAGAACCCAGATTCCCCCAGAGCTCCAAGTGCTCCCAGCACAGTGGCATCTCCCAGACTCTGCTCCTACCTGCTGAGCTCCGGCATTCAGGTCCAGGCTCTCCAGAGATTCCAGCTTTTACATTAGGAACTCAGGGGGAAAAAAAAAAAACCAAAACAACAGTCTGTGTGGCCCAGGTGAAACCAGGTGGCCCCTGTAGCTGAAATGGTGAAATGGCAGGTCCTGCCTTACCTGCCTCTCCATCAGGTTTTTCTGGAAAGAAAAGCAGCATCCCAAGGACAGATTCTAGGAGAACAGGCTTCCAACTAATGATTTCATAGACGTAGGAATAATTCCTTAATAAGAATAAATTCTCTATTCTTACACTCCCCTTTTGATTCCTGGCATAGTTTAAAAATTAATCCTTTAGCAAATCATTTAAATTTGAGAGATCAAGCAAATGTCCCAATATCAACTGAAACCAACAAATTCTTTTCCAGCATAACTCAGCTGGAATTATAACAACTCTGTGTGGCATCATCACGTGCTGTAAATGGAACCCGAGAAGCTCCAGCCACACACAGACACTGCAGTGAGGGCAGTTTTGCCCTGTGTGATGCAGCAGATGGAATCCCAGAATCCAGGATGTTGGACTGGGGGCCTGGAGCTGGATGCACTAAAAAGCCACAGACAGAGAAACCTCAGACCAAGAGAGGATCCTGCATACAGGTAAGAAGATTTTGTCTAGAATTCCTACCCCAGCTCGCCCTGCACACACACACACACTGCCGCAGTTCTGTCTCCCCATCACTTCCTTATATTCACATTCCCTCTGCCTGGAAGCCCAAAAGGCAGCGAGTTCACTTTGTAATCCAACGAGTTTCAGATGAACAAGTGTTACTCAAGGAAGCAACAAAATATCCACATCGCAGGGAAGTGAGACTTGCAGGGAAGTGAGACTTGCCGGGAATCGCTTTCTGCTTTTCAACATCAGCATGGAATCCTCATCACGGATTCATTGCAGAATATTGTCCTTTTAGTTTTAAAAACGGCTCCGTGAGCAGCAGGGCCGATCCGTGTCCCAGGACGCTTCCATCTCTTTGGAAGGCCGGCGGCACCATCTGCTGGGAGCAGAAGGAAGGACAGGATGCGAAATAAACTCGAGGAGAGCTCATGGAACTGCCCATGGAACTCCGAAACGGTTTGGTTTGGACCTCAAGGATCATCCAGTCCCACCTCGGAGCCTGTTCAGGGCACGCTGCTGTCCATTGGCCCCTGATTGCAGATGGATATGGAAATGATGGAGGTGTTCAGGGAATGCTGGTTGTTTTCCCCTGTGCTGGCTAATCTGGTCATTAAAAAGACTAATTGACCTCTTCCAACAGGGAAACATGTAAGCAAGAGGTGCCAAAAAAATTTGAGTTCCTGTGAAATGAAACCTGCAAGTATCCGACTTAAAATCCCTCTGTGTGGTCACTGGTTTGACTTCCACAGACTGCTCACACTGCCCAGGTATATCCCGTTCTGCTGTCAATGCTTTTGTCCATGGCATAATTTCTATTTTTGCCTTGCAAACAGCATCTGGGTGATAGAGGGGCATGGAGAGAAAAGGAAGGGGAGCAACTCCCGGGGTGCAAATGCTCCCAGTCCCACTCTGCACACTTGAGCCCACCCCGCAGCCTGGGGCTACCCTGCTCCGCCCCCAGCTCCTGCTGTGTCTCACCAGTCTGGGGTATGCCCTGAGCCCCCAAACACAGGATTTGGGCTCTCTGGTCAAAGCCTTAAAGTGCCTGGATGAGCCCCCACTCGCACTCCCCAAACAGGGCTGGAGTGTGTTTCACAGCCCTGAGACTGCCCGCATGGGCTTGGCTCCAAGTGCCAGCAATGTGGGACTTGCCTCATTTCTGAGCCAAAGAAAATGCCTGATTTATTTATTACAGGACCCTAAAACTGGCCAAATGAGCCTGCTGCCCCCCAAACCCAGGCCTCAGTCCCTGTTTCCAGGACATGAAGGTGCCTGGCCCAGGCTCACCACGGGGAGCCCCATTCTGATCCCCAAAACCCCACTCAGGCCTCTTCTTTCCCAGCTGAGTCTGGAGCTTCCAGCCGCTGGAAATGGGGCTGGAA